AGTACATGTAGGGTAAGAGGAGGAGACAGCGGGGTCCTGTGCAGACGCGGAAAGTCCCCAATTATGTGGTAATTCTAGAGAGTGGTTGTGATATTTATTCTTATTGCCCAAAGAACTTGGCATTTATGAGACTCACCACAAACACATTCCCCACAGCACAGGCAAACTTCAGGCTCTTTGCACTCGTTCAATCAGATGAAATAGCAGCTGGTGCTGATTTATGGTGGAGTTTGGAAGGAAGTCTCCAGCAGCCCTGCTCATTTAATTCAGGTGCTCCTTAAAAAAAAAAAAAAAAATGAAAAGAGTTAATTATGTTAGCTCCTCTTTAAGAAGGTTGATGAATAATATGTGTGTAATTCTTCTGTATTCTGTTTCCAGTCCAAGGATTATACTTTTTAATGCCTCCATCTTAGAAATATAATCAAAAAGTGTCTATCTAGTACTGATGGATCTGGAAATAACATGAGACAAATTCATTGTCAAGTTTTCAATCAAGCATGTATTATTTAGCAGGATTACTGCCATATATTGTGCCCATAACACCCTCCAAAGGTCAATCGACTGCACTCTGCACTGACTGTGCTTAAAAGGTATGATTTGACTCGACTGGAAGTGCATTGTATGTAATCAGCATGCAGTCAAAATGTAAGGATGAAAGGGAATGTGTAGAAGTTGCAATGCCTCTCAGACACAGCGGGGGTGGCTGGGTTTTCAGTGCTCATGCCTTCGTAGGGCACAATTTATGGCCATTATGGTGGTCTATTTCTAGCTATAGTGATGGATTCTGCTCAATTATTGTCCATTATGGAGAAAGATGGCCGCACCACCATGCCAGAAGTTATTGGTTCCCGCTGCAGTGACATTACACTGAAATCATCTCTGCATGTTCAGCTCAACCAAAGTAACCTAAATTGAAAATCTGTTGTTCTGTGATAAAAAAAAATCTATATCTTTTTTTCTTATTATATATGAATATATATCCACATTTGTGACCCTTTAGAACAGGTTGCATATCTACTAGTTGTAAGCATGTAAGGATTTTAGTTTTTTGTTTTTATAGGTATTAAGAAGAAGAACAGTATTTCACAAGAAAAAGCAAAAGATTAAAAAAAAAAAAATCCAAAACGAATAAATATATTGTTATTGGGTCGTTTCTATTTATAACGTTCCTCGTATTACCTGGTGATCCCTTACATTAGTCTCAAGAGCCCTTGTGGTGTTGAAAACCTTAGCATGACTAGCTTAATATACTAATGCAGCAATATACTTGCCAGTCAAAAAAGCTTATCATTAGCTAACTACATTTTGTGGCGATTATTATTATTATTATTATTAGTAGTAGTAGTAGCAGCAGCAGCAGTATTAGTAGTAGTATCTATTTTCTTCTATTCTTCTATTCTATTCTATTTTTATTTTATTCATTTAGGTGTCTGCTTGAAATTCCTGCTTTTTAAAAGGAAGTTTTTCCTTGCCTCTGTCACCAAGGGCTTGCTTATGGTGGGAATTGTTGGGTCTCTGTAAATAATATTATATATGATCTAGACCTGCTTTGTATGAAACGTGGTTATGATTTGGCACTATATAAAGAAAACGTAATTTAATTGCAGGTTAGGTTAGAAAAAGGATCAAAAAGCCCCATTCATGATGGCACATTCACTGAGTTGTAGGCCTACGGTGTGAAAGTTGGTAGGTATAGAGTTAGCAGCTCTTTCTTCTCTATTGGATTTAGGGAGGTTTATACTCCAACAACCCCGGCTAAACTCATTATCCAAGAACAGTTTTCATCTAAAAGCCTTTTGGAAGTGTCAGCAATATAATGTTTGAAAAATTAGCAATAATGCATAAATATAACCTCAGTCTTGCTTATCCAAGTATATAAAGTAAGAACCAGACATGTAAGAATGAAATAATACATAAGATTGAAATTGCATTTTTATCAAACTTGCTAATGCTAAAATTGACAAGCATAAGTAGCCGGACTTCTTTTACAGGAACAGACATAGTGTTTGTCAACCAACTCATGGAGGTAAACTAGGTAAAATCTTCCAGTGACAGCAGTAATTTCACTTGACTAGATGCAGCATTGCTTTTGTCTACTTCTGTCTGAAATCAATGGCCACCATTATCATTATAAAATGCATTATGTGCTGTGCAATGGTAACTAGCTAAGGGAGAGTTGTTTTAGCTACATGTCTCACCTTTATACAAATTACCCTCTTAATTATTAATATTCTTAATTGAATATGCATCTTTAACGATGCAGCAGGATCTTTGAGTGTGTTTTTGGGCCATATGCTGTCTGCACAACTTTGCTTATTATCTAATAATTTCCTACACTGGTGCTGAACCATACACTACACTCTATCCACCCTCCATAGCCATTCTCCTGATTTCAATATGTTTATGTCTGAACAATGGAGAAGAATTGGGAAATAGAGGGTGAGTTCCTATTATTCCTGGCATCAGGGCGCTGCAGTGGCTGTCGCCTAGCCAAAGCTCAGGTTGGCAGTCAGCACAAACTGGAGGTAATTGAGAGGGAGAAGTCCCAGCCAGTTGCACAGTGGGTCCTCCATGGGCCTCTGAATGCCACCGTAGCCCCCAGCGGACATTAATCAAAATGCCCGATCAATAACTTCTCAAGTGCTAATAAGCACTGGCACATTTCGTGATATGTGAGCCCCTTCATCATTTCAACTACCCGGAGATTTATAGGAAATCCATTGTTAGGTCCAAAGTATGAGGTAATGTAGCACTTAGTAAATGAAGTAAAACCAAAAGCCTGAGGTGATTTGTATTTCATTTACAAAGGACATGTCTAATCATTAGGAGCTCCATCTCTCTGAAAAGAAACCAAACGGATGTAATGATGGCTGTGTTCTTTTATAGCTTACTTACTCAGCAATGATGCAGGAGATAACATCAAATAGTGAAGCCTTGCCATCCTCCAATCCTGAGTTGTTCACTCCCAGATAGCCATGGGGGACTCCTATCCACCATGGAGTGATTAAAGTCATGTTAGGGAAGCATTATGGGTCAAGTCATAAAATAATTTGATTTCTGTCCCCTTCCACTGTCTCCTATCAAAGTGATTGGTCTCCTGGTCATCTCACTGGCTGACATAATTGTTAATTAACCATTATGGGCTGCCCTCTCTCATCTATATCTCACAGCAATTACTCATTTGACAACAATGCAATATTTCACAGTGTATGATGTATGGACACAGACCTGTTTTACGAGTATGAACTGACTCAGTATCATGAAAGTGTTGCACATTTACTCACATCTAGATGCTTTATTTACTCAAGTATTGATTACCGTCAATTTTGTTTCACTTGATATTTTCTACAGGTGCCTAAGATGAATCACATTGGCAGCTTTGTTTCAGTTAGCAACACAGAGGACTGACAGATTATTTTTTCTTTTCAACCTGTTGTCAGCGCAAATTTGCAAAGCAGTTCCTACGCACAGCTTTTTTTTTTTTCTTTTTTTAACCGTTCGCTTAAGTCATCAGCTCTTTGCATGTCAAGGTGAGTTGTCTTTTCAGAAATACCACAGATCAGGTAAAGAGGTCCAGGGGGAAGAAAGTTAAATAAAAAGCTCTTTAAAATGGCATTCATAAAGAAAAAGACAAACAATGTACTTGTTGAAAATAAAAGCGCACGCTGAAATCCATTCTGATGACAGTTGAGAATGCAGGCTTTATGGTGGACTTGAGCCCCATCTTTGCCATATCTTTTAAGCATGATTATTTACTTTAAAAAAACAAACCAAAGCCCCACGTCTGGCATTGTGGACGACAGGCCTTTGATTGAGGTCTGAGCTTGAATTCTTAACTAATAAATTGTTCCACGCCTTTGTCTGGGGCATTAACAGCAGTGGTCTGCGTTTTTCTTGCCCTAATCTCAAGAATGCAGCAGCCTCTTGAGAAGCTCAGGGGTTTCCTCCTCTCCCAGAGCCAGGTCTTCACTTTGTTTTCTTAGAGGACTCCCTGGATTGACAGGCCTCACCGTTAGCCCTCTTCTCGGCCATCTGTTTTCACCGATTCTGACTGAACACATCAAAGTCAATCAAGGCTGCAAAGCATTTTAAAAGTCACACACCCCCGCGCCGTGTGTGAGAAATAAAGCAAACTTTTCATCAGGCTCACAAAAAGAGACAGTTTGGACTGTGTGTTTGTGTGTATGGTTTTCCATGTAAGGGTGACCTGGGAGGGATCCCTTAGCTCACAGCACAGGTATGAGCAGCTTAGCTTTGTTCAGTGCCTACTCTGACGACAGCTTGGTGAGTCACCTAGACACATATACCAACCTCCTTTGGTCAGGTTCCAACTATTCACTGACAACTCCCTGACAATAAAATAATCATTAGTGAGATTGAGACACAGCACGTAGTTTTCAAAGAGCAAAATTGTCTTTGCATGGTGATAGAAGGGGATAGACATAGAAAACTTTGTAAATGTAACACTATCAGCAATGGTGGAGGAAGTATCCAGATCCTTTATTTTAATGAAAATAGCAATACAACAGTGTAGAAATACTCCATTACAATTAAAAGTCCTGCGTCTTACCGAAATATATTACATATTTTCAACAAAATGTACTTACATAGCAGAAGTATTCATTATGCAACAGAATTTTAGTTGATTATTATTACTAATGATCAGCATTTGCAAATATCAAATGTTCTTTATACTTTTGGGGAATTTAATTAATTTTTTACAACCATCCATAATATCATATAGACTAATTTACATTCTAATTTATTAATCTACAAGTGTAGTGGAGTTGTAGTATAAGATGGAAGTGTTATTATTACATAAAGACATCAAACACATCACGTAGGTAATCGAGTTTGTGGTGTTTTTTAATGTGGAATCAATAACCAATCAGCTAACCCTGAGGTCTCAGTTCAGCCAATCAGAGGCAGCAATGAGGCTGCGTGTGGAGAGGAGGAGGAGGGTCTGGACTGGTTACCTAGTAACCGCTCAAACACTGTGTTGATAGGATGGCAATGCGGAAGGTTTGGACTTGTTCAGCTGCTTGTTCACCCAAATTTGTTCATTTTAAACTCATGAAAATGAGCTAATTTTAAAAACTGCGGCAGATATATTAGTCAGTGTTTCTTCTTACACATTTAGTCTTTTACTTTATTGATAGTTGTAAGCTTGAAGCTAACGTTAGTGTCGTTGTCACGTTGCCTGTTATGCACCTGCCATTTTATTAAGATAATTAGCAAACACCTGTGTGAGCTGGGCGCCATTCTGTTTGACGTACAATGAAAACAACCCATGTTTTTTTTCTAATATATGAGTAAAATGAGGTTACACTTACCAATGCTTTAATGGAAACCAGAAGCTAGACTGTAGCCAAACGATTTGTGTCGGTTTTAAAAAAGTAATTTCTTTGCCACACTCATTGCTGCATTAGTGAATTATCCTTTATAATTATAGCATATTCCATTTGGCCATGCAGTGATTTATCCCTGCCTTTTGCTATTATTTGGTCTTGCCAGTATGGTTCCAAATGCATTTAGTTGTATTTATTGCTTATCCTGGTCTGAGATAGAGTTTACATTTTCTACTTTGCCAAGTTTATAAAGTTTTGCTCTGACTCATTCCTCACTTTATATGAATGCAGTGATTTGTATCATATGTTACAGGGCTTGACGTCTAAAGCTAGCAACAAGCTGGTGATCACCTCAGCTGCCTTTCAAGACCATATCACACAGGGCTTGCTGCATCCACATTTCTCACTTTCTGACCCTTTGCTGAGAAGGAAACCACCCAGAAATCCAGCAGCACGAGGAAGAGTGGAAGAAAGGGGTCCGCGGAGACAAGATCGGCAAGAGGAGGGAGAATATGTCCTTGATTCTTCTCCCCCTCCCTTAACGTTAGGTAAAACGAACACTGGGAAATTTGGAGAGACTCCATTTATGTGACACATGAATATATAATCAGCATTTTTCCTATTTCTTTTAGCTCAGAAGTTGGGTTTGGTGGCCTCCCCTGCAGGGAAATTGACAGAGGACGAATGGACTCGGGTCAAGGCGAGGTCTGTTCAGCAGGGGGAATCGGCTCAGCCCTGTGCAATATGCAGGGAGGAGTTTCTCCTTCAGCCTCAGGTATTCCCCCAACACAGTAGCTACTGTTAATACTCTGTGAGAGACCTCTTTCTTTCTTTCCTTTTCTTTTTTTTAAAACATGTTTCCAATGTTCTGTCTGTCCTCAGAGAAACCTCTGTTTCTGTATACAGACATGGGCACACAAAGCCCACCCTTCCACCTCCCCCTGCAGTTCCTGTATGTTCTAATCTGTGTAGACAACTGTACAAATTTACCCATACTGCCTTGGAACTCAACTGTGACGTGATGATGTAGCAATCAGTGTGTTACTGTGAGGGTCATTCAGTCTTTTACACCTTTCCGATCCCCTTTTAAGATGCCAATCTCCTAAAGAATGTGGGACTAGAATAGGCGGCCTCACAAAGCACAGTTGCCATAGATGCACGTGTAAATATTAGTTTGACTCAGGAAAAAAAAAAAAGTTAATTAGAGCCTGCTAACAAGGGAAAGTGACAAGAGGGAATCTTTGTTGATTTGGCATTTTCCTGCAAGCTTTCATATTGTAACAATGCGTTTGTGTGCCACAGTCTTGTGTTGCATTCAAGCATTAATATGACAATTAAAATGCTTACAGCAGCAGTTGCTATTGTTGATACTTGCTTATCTATTCAGCTCATATTATTTTAATACCAACAAGAAATGTACATTTAAATAACATTTTTATTCCATTTCTATATTGTATGTCCATAAACTGTAGCTTGTGGCCTTAAAGCACTGTGAGAAGTGAAATTTCTCCATGCTCTAATGGCTTGTCGAGCTCCTGGAAATTGTACACTGCAGGGGGCCCTTTCACTGGTGATGGAGTGTGTTGGTCAGGCCAAAAACAATGGGAAATCAATATGCCTCCCCCCTGCCCTCTAGAGATCTGAGTAAACTGGTTTGTGTGCCAAGCCCCATAGCTGTGGCCGTCTCCTTTCAGACGATAAAAGACTCCCTCTCACAGGTAGAGGAGACTATAGTCCAGGTCCCAGCCGGCCCACTGGGGGTCATGCTGACTCTCTCTATCCTCTAAGCAAATAACACTTAAAAGCAGATACATACAGACATTCACACACGTGCATGAATACACACAGATTTAGCATGGCTTAAGGCTCACATACACACACCACATGTGCACAGACTGTGTGCTGTATGAGAGCTTTCCTAAGCACTAAGCAAGAAAACCTGAATACACGTTCAGCAGCATCCTCTGGAGACAACCCTTATAGTCAGTCAACAGATGAAATCTAAACTCTAATACTGGTTTAGATGCTTGTTTCATTGCATGTACAATACAATTTTCATTTTCACATATACTGAGTAACTTATGTCCCTGTTTCTTTTTAGGTGTTGCTGTCTTGTTCTCATGTTTTCCACAGAGCATGTTTGCAGGCCTTTGAGAGGTTTTCTGGGAGGAAGTGCTGCCCGATGTGCAGAAAGCAGCAGTATGAGACACGGGTGATCCACGATGCAGCTCAACTCTTCAGACACCGGTGTGCCACCAGGTACATGCACTAAACCACACATTTAAAAAAAAAAGTAATGCAAATTCTATACGTATAGATATAAATACAAAATGTATAGAACTGACTTTCCTTTTCACACAATAAGAATTCATCACACTGTCTCACCAAGTGACTAAGGCAGCAAAACAGCAAGAAAAAAACATCCTCAAATACTAAAACATGTTTTATATATGAAATATTAAAAGTAGAGTAGGTGTGCTGCTGTAAAAGACAGAGGCAAGGAAATTATATTTATATAGCACATTTCAATTTGAGCAAAGTAAATGCTTTAAATTAAAAAATGGAGACATGATAAGTTGCTCACACTATAGTTGTACATAAAGTTTTTGTATGTGACTTGTCTATACATCTTTATCTATGTTGTAGTTTGGCCAAGGTCTGACAAATGAGAAATAATGTAATCTTATTTTCACTTAATTAAATTAGCCTAACCAAGAAGCTAGTGGCTTCATTAGACATAGAAATCAGCAAATACGGTATGTTCTTCAAAGCTCTGCAAAACCTGATTTTTACCTCATTTTTGTAAGATTTGATCCCATCCTATCAGATGACATGATTGTTGATCCCATCCTATCAGATGACATGATTGTTGTTTCTTTGTTGTTATTGAATGTATTTTGTGTGTGTTTGTGTGTAGAATACAAGCATGCTGGCGAGGCTATGTTGCTCGAAAAAGATACCGGACATTGAGAAAATCCATCTGCCCAAAAGACAAACGGCTGCGACGTAAATTCTTCGAAGCAAAGGTGAGTTTGGACATTACTGCAGAAGTCTTAGATTAATTATGCTTCTTTGGATCACATTGAACATACATCAGGTCACACTGCTTAGCATCTGTCCCCTCACGTCTCCCTTTCCCCCCCCTAAACTTCACTCTGACTGTTTAGTTGGTCAAATAAAGCCGGTGACGAACATCACATCTTGAGGGTTGAGACGTGGGTTTCAGGGACTCACTGACCCCACTGCTAACCTACAGACACACAGACACACACGCACACACACACACGCACACACACACATGCACACACACACACACCTTCACCTGCTCTCACCCTCTCAAGCTCCTTTGATGTTTTGTGAATCATACACTGTTTGTCCACTAATGTGGAGAGAGTTTTGTGTTTTAGTCAAACAGTCTGGACATTCCAACATCAACACAAAAGCTTGATGTTTCCTGTGCATGTTTAAGTCTGGTATTCCTTCATCTATCTGTGTATATGTGTGTGTGTGTGTGTGTGTGTGTGTGTGTGTGTGTGTGTGTGTGTGTGTGTGTGTGTGTGTGTGTGTGTGTGTGTGTGTGTGAGAGTGTGTGTGTGAGAGTGTGGCTCTGTTACTTGGTTGGATGGGAAAGGGTGAAGAGGTGAGGTCGAGCAGGTTGTTTGGATACCTGACGCAGGTTGTCATTTCAGGCTTTGTTCTCTAGTCCCATTTCAAAAGCTATAAATCATGCAAAGACTGGACTTGATGGAAGGATTATTTAAAAGTGGCCTCAGGAGCAGCCAGTGGATGGGGTTGTTTGACTCTGAGGCTGTGTTGCCTTCATGGTGGCTCTCTGGAAAAGGGAACATTGCCACCTAGTGAACCTCCCCCAACTGAGGCCTTTGGTTGACCATGGACGAGACTGGTCACAATTTATCTTAACCAGACATCAGTTGTTCAGGGATACAGAGTAATTTCTCACACAAAATCAAAATCTGCTTTAAAATAGTCATAGCTCCAACTCATGTACTATATGTCCAATGTCTTTAAGAACAGGCCCTGTTTATTTCTATGTGGAGTGTTGTAATCATGCAGAGTGCCCCTGTGCTTCAAAGGGGCTGATTAAGCAAAAGCGATAAATGCGTGAGGGCCACACTTATTACGTGTTGCAAGGGTCGGCGTGTCCTACCCATCCCCCTGTCAGTGTCTATCATCTCGCCTATAAACCATGCCTTTAAGATGTCATGTAAACAAAGACACCACATTTACTGAGCCAATTAACTGTGTTCTAACACATTAGGCCATGTCCGGGTCCACATGCTTAGGATGGAGTCATAGACGCTGTCAGTCACTTTACATTCATGTTGTGTGATTCAGTGGTTGTGGGTGGTCATGAGATTGTCTCATGTCTTTTGTCACACTGAGGATGATCTTCAAGAGCTTTGAGCTGTGCAACACAGCGCTGACAGGTCTGATTGACTTGATTTTCAAGGAGAAGACTTATTTGCTTAGCTGACTGTAATGCAAACAGGCGTGTTAGTGCTGGGCTGGAACCTGTGTGAGACGGAGACACCTATTCTTTCAGTTCTCCTTGTAATAGCATGAGGCAATAAAGCATCTTTGTACCATGAAGCCACAGGTGTTCCCTGGAAGAAAAAAAAACTCCCACATATCAGGTCAGTTTCAGAAATCTTATCAGCTGATCCTGATGCCCAGGTTTCAATTTTTATTCGCTTCGGAGGTCCGACCCTGAGTCAACACATTAAGGGGGACACTACCGTCATCTAGATGGATTGCCGTGAGATAACGCCTATGCGCTCCACCTCTTCTTCCCCCTCTGTGTCCTCTCCCGTCCGCATCTCCTGTGGAGCAAGGCAAAGTTCACCAGAGGCTGTACTGTTTGCCTTGACTGTCGAAAAGTCAGCCAGGCTCATAAAACCCTCCATCCGAATGGTCAACAGTTGTTTAATTAGTGATAAAAGCCTAGCTGTAAAGCAATTCTGATGTCACTGTGACAGGCTAAGGGATGGGGTTTGTATTTGTATGTGTGTGTAGGCTAGTCATAAACAGAGAAAATACGTACGTGTGTGCAAGCAGGTGCTGAGGCTAATGTTACTCTTAGTGACATGTTGCACTAATTACATGTAGGGAGTTTACATGACTTTTCCCAGATGTAATGCAACACATTAATTTAAAGGTGCAACTGTTAGTTGACTGACAGAAAATTATTGCCAACAACTTTGATAATCAATTAGGTCATTTTTTACATAAGATTCCCTACTTTCAGCTTCTTTTTCTTTGTTTTATGTCACAGTAAAGTGAATATCCTCCCTCTTTGGTCTGTTGTTTGGACAAAACAAGTAATTTGAAGACATTCCCTTGGGCAATGAGTGTTTGTCACTAATTTTATATTTTTACACTTTATTGACGGTTAATGGAGAAAAATCTTCAGCCAGTTGTAGTCCTACATTAATGTATAGTTTTTATCACGGAGTCACTAAGTAAAATGTTTAACAAAACATTCTCATCACAAAGCTTCCTTACTTGGTTGGCTTTCACCCACATCTCATGGTCTTCCATTGGTGTATGCAGTTTGTTCAGTTGTCATGGAGATGGTCCAATTATTATTTACTATTTTTTTATTATTTACTATGTAATTATTGTGTTACATGCAGAACTATAAATTAATTGGTCAAATTCATAGTGCTGTTAAAAACTTATATCTATATAAATTTAAATATAGCCTATTCATTCACTACTGAACATGTTTTTGATATAAATATGCTATGCAGGCATTAATTGTTGCCTAGCAACAGCTGCTGTAAATGGGAGAAGACAGATGAGTTCTGGGAGGACAGACACTGGAAAGAAATCTTTAAAATCAGTCAATTTGAGAATGGAAGAGGTGATTGGGCACTCCAGCTGAAACTGACATCATAGAAACTGGGCTGTAGACAAACTGAAGTCAGGAGTCCAAGTCCCTGATTCTGCCCCCTGTCCTCAGAAAGAATACCTAAACCAAAAATATATACCTTCAAATGTCTAAGGTATTTAGATTTTAGTATATTTTTACTAATTTGGTTAGCTTTTTAATCGGATTATCTCTTTATTTTCCATACATAAATGTCTAAATGCTGTTTTAAAGCCTTCTTCACACTGTCAGGGGTAACATTATGGTGGGTAAATACTGAATCTTTTATTTATTGCTCTAAAAAGTAGCCACATTTAAATATCCTAGGTCTTAAAACTGGAATCGATCTATAAAATACCCAGACAGAAAAAGTGTCAGAAATGCGTGTGTTTCCATGTTTCCCAGCACTATCTTCCTTTTTTTACTGGTTTCCATTAATTCTCCATGTTAGTGGGAGACGTGACTGTATTGATCTGGCTGTTTAACAACTGCGCCCTGTCAGCGTGCCTCAGCCATTACAATACACACACACAATTAGCCTTCGCCGACAACACGACTCCATTGTGTATCTGAATGAAACATGCCTCCTTTGTGCCACTAAAATGGGTTTTCTAATTAGTTGCAGGAGTTGAATGACAGCTTTGTCCGATACTGTCACACCGACACGGAGGCTTTTCTGAGTGATATCAACCGCTCGCTGTCATCCAGCAGACGAGTGTTCCAGCAGCTGGAGAGAAAGCACATCTCCGAACCTCAGGAGAACGACTGGGACCGAATACAGAGCCAGGTCAGGAACAAGATGCACTCTGCTGAACCCGAAGCCACTTCTATCCTTAAACAAGGCCCCGTAAAAATATATAATCCTTGTCTGATTCTTCCTCTCCCAGCCTTGCCTTTCCCTTGACATGTTAATGCTTGCATGGGGACGACAGCATCACAGCTGCTGGATAGAAAGTACACATCTCTCCAGAGGTGATCATTCACTTTACCAAGTGAATGGCAGTGGGTAGGCTAATAATCCTCCGTGTTTACAAAAAACATGAGCCAGTCTGATAATGCACGGCAGGCTTTTCATCGCCTGGACTGCTGAGAAGGAATTGAAAAGACATTAAGATTTGCTGTTCCATAAGGCTCCATTGTTGGCTTTCATTGCAACCAGTACCATTTTCCATAGAGGGGGTGGGGTGTGTGCAAAGAAGATGTCTTTTTTTTCCTCTCTTTTTTCTTCTTTATCTGGTGTGAAAAGGTTGAGCACAAGGCAGGAGTGGCTCAGCCTTGACATGGAGTATGAAACAGTGAATGTGCTTTCAACACATACCTTGCACCTTTTTCACGGGTGCAAACTCTATAAAGCGGAGTGCAGCTCGTTATGAAACATTTAACGGTGGGGCATGTTGGCCCCTAAATACAGGAAGCTGTCTTTGGTTAATCATTGGCAGAGCTGTGCATGTGTTTCTTTGTTTTTATAAGGTTCACTGATAAACACGTTATCACCCTGTGTCTGATGAAACTTGTCAACTAGTTGCAAACAGATTTGATTCAGAGGACTTTATAAGCAAATACCAGTGGCACAGTTATTACTGCCTAATCAACATGCACAAATTACCTCGGACTGCTGGTGTTGCTGTTCCCACAGTTGCATGTTTGAGCTTCACTGTGCAGGATGATGTATGTGCACAGTTTGACACTAGAAGGGTGTTTTCACATTCATCTTAAGAAAGTGGAAACTTTCTCTGTGCTCATTGAAAGTAAATCCTGGTCCAGTATGCAACTTATACAAGTTTTATGTAGAGACTTGAAATCACTAGTGCACATACACTGAGAATAGAGGTTACAGTGAAGTAGGAGACATCTTGTGTCCAACAGGAAGACTTCAGAAATGAACAAAAGTTGCATTTTCAATTAATTACAGTAATAATTTATTTTAATGAAGTATAACAATTTTTATGTGGAAATTATAAAAATGTTTTGCCCCCCTAACAGACCCACATTATTGTTGCAAGCAGACTATATGTATATGTCGTAATACATGTCTGGAGGGGATCTTTAAGTTGGTCAGAGAACTTACATTGTTTGTTTCCCACTCCGACAGGTTATCCAGAGAGGTGTCTGGGACTGTGCCATCTGCCTGACTGCATTGTGCTTCCAGAGCCTCCCAACAGAAGCAGGTACATCCAGCCTTCGACAACATAGACGCACCGTGCTTTTGTCCTGTTCCCACCTCTTCCATCAGCTTTGTCTAGAGGCCTTTGAGGCTTTTACTGTAGAGAGCAGACCTTCCTGTCCTCTGTGCAGATCTGCCTACCACAAAAAACTCATCTAACAGGGTAAAACATGTATGCAAGATGCCCTTTTAAATCATCTCATGCAGAAATATTTGTAAACTCAAGTTCATATTATTGTAGGCAAATTATTACATCTTACAGTGACTGATGAAGATTAGAGGAATAGTTTCAACATTCTGGTGGGAAATATGTTTATTCACTTTCTTGGTGAGAGAGGTGAGGGAAATGTGAAGTTTGAGCCAGGAGGCGATTACCTTAGCTTAGCATAAAGATGGGAAGCAGGGGGAAACAGCGAGCTTGTCTCTCTCCAAAGTTCAAAGTTCTTAAGTTCATTAAACACAGGTGTTTTTTGGTTTTATGGGCAGTTTTCTGTGACTACTTCTTGGCAAACGGCACCCAAGAGCAGCAACTTCCTGCAGTCTTGTCACTGTGAGGTTGCCAGGCAACCAGCGGAGACTCCTGAAAGCCACTGAAATAGTTACAGCATGTAACTCTGTAAAATCACAAACTGTTCATTCTACATTATTGTTTGTGTACAGATTAAACAAGTGAGATACGTGTAGATGGATGTTTCAACTTTGGACAGAGTCAGGCTAGTGTTTCCCCCTGCTTCCTGTCTTTGTGCTAAGCTAAGATAGTGGGGGTCCTGGCAGGCTCCATACAGACATGAGAGTGGTATCAATCCTCTCATCTAACTCTTTGAAATTGAGTGTATTTCCCAAGATGCCACACTACTCCTTATTTTTCATCAGTTTTGACGTCCATGTCACAATAAATGAAAAGATGTTCACAAAGCATTTTTCTACTTTTATTTGCAAACACACAAAAAACATCAAAAATAACAAAACATACATTTAGCAAACTGAGAAACTGTAAAAAATACATTCACAAAACGTGTACCAAAAATGACATGCAGAGACCAACTGACATACAGAAAAAAAGCTGCTTCACTTGCAGTACAGGCTAACTCTCAACTTTTGAAACCCCCATACAACATAGAGATGTACTGTAAAGGCAACCTGCTTGCTTGAATAGAAAATGGCCCTCTGAGTTCTTACCTCAGAAGCTACTGCGAGGAGTATGATTGGGACGTGTGTGACACGTCCCTGCTAAGCATCGCAGAGCCCAGTGTTACCACACTCTGCAGCTGAGTGGATGTATGCACAACTATGATGGAGCTGATGGAAAAAAAAAAAATCCACCTCAAGCCATTTGAGTTTGTTTACTTTCACTAATTCATCCAGCAGTTAAAATTTTGCCAATATACAGTATCATACTTTTTACTTTGCAATATCACTTTGGGCTATATTTGATTTTTCACAGTATCCAAATATCAGAATGGTCCTTTCGTTGATAAAATAGACGTAGACAAGCACTACACAAATGAATCGTTCCTAATGTTTCAGAATATCTACCAGTTAAGAATTTGGATAAACCTGCACTCTTAAAACGAGATCTCTCAAAACCTGTTTCTGGTTTTTGAAAGATGTCGTGATCAGACTTTTGGGTTTGGGATGGTAAGGGCCATTATATGTATGTCATCCTTTACAAAACATTCTCAGGTCCGCTTTGCTCATTTGACAGGATGGCTTCAGCATGAGTTTTGTGATTGAGAGTTGCAAACTTTTCTTTAAATCCAGTCTTTGTAATATAGCAACAACCAATGGCAGACAGCTTTCATGTAAAACATTCCCTGCCCTAAGAAATAAAAGTTTCAAATGCATATATAAATTAAAATTTCCTTACTTCCTTTTCTTTTGTCATCATGAAAACAAATGACATCTATAACACCATAAAAACGACACCATTCGAACAATCAACCCTATCCTAGCGAGTGCTCAAGTTTTATGGGTAATGCACGAGTCTCAAAATGGAGCCTCTCACTACATAAGAGCTACTGTGACAACATTCATAGCAATAGCAATGTGTATGTTATATCCAGCTGGCTGTAGACTAAAAAACTTGGTGGCGCACAGGGGATCACAGTGGAACTGTCTAGAGACGATGTACATTTACATGTACATAAACAACACAGAACAAGAAACAACCTTAACATTAAGCCTGCGAGATGCTTGTCGTTTAAGGCATTTAAGGTGGTTCTGAAGACAAAGAACATCACAGTTCAGAAGATTATGCAGCAATACAACATGTAAATGGGGCCTGAGTCACCAAGTCTCTCTAACGGCTGCAAAGTTGCACATTTTTCACTCATGCATTCTGTATGTGAAGACTGTTACAGGTTTGCATTAGATTTAGGTGTTTTATAAAAAAAATATGTACAACAAAATACAGATTGCTTAGTGAGTCAGACCCTCTGTGGGATCAGTGAGAGCCCAATATTTACATCCAGATAATGCAAAAGAGGTATGAAACACAATATAATATGTACATGTAAATACAACATTTACAAAAATGACCAAAAAAAATGGACAAATCTTTCTGTGCCCTGTGAATTTTAAAATAGGTTTTTTTTTTTTTTGGGATAAGCAAAAATGCGATGACATTTTCTTACCATGTGCATAATAAAATTTTAGGAATACAACCACAGGATCAGCTCCAAATGCACTAAAGCTTTCTGCTCATAGATACGATTCCCATATAGTTTCCCATTTGTAGAGTAGCTCAAGTCTAATCTAGAGCACCTAAAAAAAGTTCTTACCCTACTTCATACAAACTAATGACATCATCAATAAAGTTAAAGCGCACTTGAGTAAAGCCAAATAAAAAGACAAATGACAGCAGGAGTGCTAAAATCTGAGGCCTATCAGTAATGACAGCGCCAATGCATATAACGTTAATCATATTGCCGTGCAGTTTTATGTACTGGCTGTGATGAGTGATATTTCTTAAATGCTTCACAAAGCACATTTTGTTATTTTCACATTTTGAGCTTGAATCAAAAATGAAATATCGACACCTTATCATGCCTGTATCAGTTCACGTAACAATCAAAGACCAATAATTAGAGACCATAAACTGCAAATGCTCCATGTATCACTGACACCTCTTACCGGGGACGTACTGACATTAAAAAAATGAGACTGAATTGTGGGGGTCTAGTTATTATAATGAGTAAGGAAGAGGGAACAGGGTGATGGAAAAGAACCCATTGCCTTTTAGTTAGATGTAAGACTCAGAAATAAGACATTGTTTCACCTGCTATACCCTCTTGCTTTAGTCTAGTGCAGTGGTGAGGATGTTATAGAATAAAAACAGGTAGCGATGCTGGGAGGGGGGAGAGTGCCCCGGAAGCAAGAGATGGGTGGTTTAAAGTCACAGTCGCGGTTGAGGTCAACATCAAGGTCACTGCAGTGATGCCAGTCTATTTCACTCCTCAGTCTCATCCCTGGCTCTGTCCCAGCTTCCATCCGAGACGCAGAGGATGGAATGTCACGAAGCTAAATTGCTCTCAGCCTCCATTTGCAGCATCCGTCAGACACTGCCTGGGTTTATTAAGTTCCTTCCAATCCCTTTCACCTTTCAGCAGTCAGGCAGTACTGTCGAAATCTCCCTTTGGCTGTGCTAAGGTGTGTGTTTGTGTGTGTGTGTGTGTGTGTGTGTGTGTGTGTGTGTGTGTGTATGTGTGTGTTGATCTATCGTCCCTTTCACAGAGTTTTCTGATGCCCGTTGGCCGAGAGCTTCCCAGATTCAGGGTCTGTGGGGCTGTTTGACAGTTGCAATTTATCCAGACCTGGGCAGGGGGAGATAAGGGAGAGAAATCTCATTAAAAAGCCTCAGACTTTCACTTAGACAGAGGTATTGATGTGCTTTTTTCCCCCTCAGTGCCTCTGTCTGACATTTTCTAACCCTATCCCACCCTGTGTATCAAACATCCAGGGCCTGTCACCACAAGCCTTTGAGACTAGCCCCATCCTCTGTCACATGTCAGTCCCGCAGCACATTGGATCTCGCTGCAATTTCTTCCATTTTGTCACTCCAGGTCGTGCTGTCTGAGAGAAATAAACACTATCTCCCTCAAAAGCCACATAATAGGTTGGTGCTGTCAGTGTTTCAGACCAACGCTTTATGGGTACAAAATTGGGATGAAATTGAGTAGTCAAAGTGCTATTACCAAATAGATTGCTTTATATTCTACAGGACATACAGCACAGCAAAGTAAGCAGTGTGACAATGAGATAATTAGGTTATTTTGTTGTAGTATATTAACAGGTGCTGGTTATAAACCCTCATGACACATCAAAAATAAATATATAAATTTACCTAAGGCCTTTAGAAGCTCTTCCCGTACTGCAGAGGTGAATTTTCTCACAAGACAGAGTGTTGTCACAACCGCAAACAGCATGTTGTATGAAAGGACAATGTAAAAGTTTCCCAGCCAATTAAACCTTCCGAAGTCTCCCAAGAGATCAAACCTGGTGATGCCTGTGAAGGACAGAGATACAAATCAAATAACAGGGTTAGAAAGTAAGTTGACACACTCAAACAACACAATTACTATTTTAGTTTGACAGTCTGCATCTGCGGTAAAGACTCTTTCAATAGTGTCTCTGTCCAATGGTCCAACTCTTTTTAGGGCTTACATACAAAAACAATTTCATATGCATTATACTTCATATAATCTCAGCGTGAAAAAGGATAAAAACAATTATTAAACTGCATGACCAATTACATTTTGCATTCAAGACTATCCCCATGGTTTGTCATGTACATTTTTCTATTCATATAAAAAAAGTTAACGTAAGGTGGTACATAAAAAGAAAGCCACTCCCAAATCAGTCAGCTGTATACAGCTCAACTTGAGTCAGCCACTCAATTCGAACAAAAAACAAGCACAATCTTGTAAGCCTCTGCAGAACTGAGGACTTGCATAGTTTGCCAAAAATTTCAACCTAAGAATGTATGCACCTGATATTTTCAGTGTTTTAAACTTTTTAGCTTTTATATATAAATGTCTGAAAATGCTGTCATTAAAACATGACAATATTTTTGTATCTTTGTTGTTGTTGTGGAGTGGATTTGTTTCAGTCTCCATCAACTACCACTGCACTGCAAAGTTTATGTATATTTCCATCACTTGACTGTCTTGGTTTGCAGTATTGTAAGGACTGTCCCCTGTGGAATATGACAGGTTCAGTGACTAAGTATAGCAGCAAAGGTGGTATGCAGGTGGACTTCATCTCTCTCCCAGGACCTTCAGACAGAGATAAAGAAGTGATTTCTGCTGCAGGCTCCTCTCAGCTCCACACTGCTAGACCAATTTCAACACACGGCTGATTGCATGCTGCCTGGAAAGCCATCAACACCCTATTGTTTTCCTGCTTATCCATTTTGGCCTTCCAATCTGGGTGTTCATACACAAGGATGGGCTAGCTGTGCCATCCAATAATAACATAATGTAGGGTTATAATTAAGCTTTCAACCTTAACCTGATGTGTACAATTGTCTTCAATGTTACTAATGGTATTATTTTTTGATGTTAATTTTACATGCAACATTGACCAGCAGAATTACTGCATCAATATGTTAAGTCTATGCACCACAACAATGGTTTGTGTCAGTCATCTGTATGCAGAAATTATATTCAGATGTGCCACACTGGAGAAGCACAAGTCTATATACATTCTATTTCTCCAGTAACATCTTCACAACCTCTGTCGTCAATTAGATTGGGCAATCGATTCAGTGGCTGGAGAGATGTATTTACAGCCGCAGTAAGCAGTTCGCAAGCATCAAGGACCTTTAACAAAATTGCCTGTGAAGAGACAGGAAGAGAGATGATTGAGACTTCAGTCGATACAGCTTGCCACTGTGGTCTGGCTACATCCATTTCTAATGCCAAAGGTTTTGATCTTGGTTTGGTAATTTGAGAAAATCTAATTGCGGGCAAAAAAAGATGCTTGGCATTTGAAATGTCGGGGGTACAGTGGCAGAGTCTGAGACGTTAGTATGCAGCAGCATCCAAGAGGCACATGTCAGATTCATCAGGGTTGTATGGCACAGTGACATTCATTTCTTTGTATGTGAGCAATGGTGTTTCTACTGGTGTTTCTGTCATGGCTGCTTCTGGCTATTAACAGATCTAACAACCACAGCATAAAAGGCATATATCCGTGACTAGTTGCTCAAAAGGAGCTTGTTTCTCCTTTTTGAGAGCAACAAAAGAACAAGGGATCTTCTGGTGGCCGAGCGGATTAAGAGGCTGCCCGTGTATTTGCAGCATCCCTGGTTCAAGTCCAATCAGTTCCTGTCAGCACTCTACTGTATTCTATGTAATAAAGGCAAAAAATATCCCCAAAAAGTATAACATTAATGATATAATTTACATACATATTTGTAACAATATTAGTAGTTGTGTTTCATCATGCTTTTTAATACTAAATAAATAAATTAATAAAATGATACAGATATGTGGACACTTGACTGGATTTTGTCAGGCAAGGGTGGGGTGATGAAGCATTTTTAGTCTTTTTTCTAAATGAAGTTCAGATTATTTTCAATCTAACAAGACAAGTTTCTGTTAAAACATCATTATTTTGTTCTATGAGTATAAATCAAAGTCCATGGTACTCCTAAATGCCTAAAGTATGAGATAAAGTTCAACCATTTCACATAAAAACCTAAAACAACTTTTCCATTTAGAGTTTCCAAACTACCGTTATTACCTGTAAAACAGACAGACTTAGATAGATAGATACTTTAAGTACAATTCAAGTACAGTTCCCCATTCTCTCGTACAATGCATGTTTCTCACACTGACACGCACAAGAAACATCACATCAACACACAAAACCCTTTCTTAACATCTCACTTCGTCACACTCAACTCTCTGCGTCTTTTTTCTTTTGCTGGGGGGCCTTTTCGCTTTAACTCTGTCTCATGCATTTATTCCTTTTAATCTATTCAGTGTCACAAAGCAGAACCTGTTGATATTTTGTAAAGCTCCCAATGAGTCACTGTATGCTCACTCTGTCCCATTTTCCCACTCTGTGTGTGTATTTGAGTGTGTGTGAGAGACCAACAGAGTAGTGCTATTTGAACAGCTGTGCTTTGCACTCTGCATGTTTATTAGTGCCATTGTGATGGTGCTACTCCTGTCATTTTTACCCCTTCACCCTGCACTCCTTTCAAATGTCACTATGGGAAACTATAGGAGAATTCAACTTGCTAAGTTAATGGTCTGCTGTTGGTGGCGGCACTGAAAACTATTGTGGGGGAGGGGCATTTACTCTTTCTGGTTGTTTGTGGTGAGGTTGTTATGTCATCTCTGGAAATTCAATTTAACCTACATTTCTGTTTAATAGTTTGACATTTGAGGAAAATGTGCTAATCGTCTTTCGCCGAGAAGATTGATACCACTGGTGTCTTTTTGCTTAATATGAAGCTACAGCTAGCAGCCGGTTAGCTTAGCTTAGCATAAAGACTAGAAACAGGGGGAAACAGCTAGCCTTGTCCTGTCAGAAGGTATAGCATTAGAGGTGCTATCAGCTCGCTACATCTTGTTTGTTAATCCATACAAAAACGACAAGTTGCAGTTTTATTGAGGGAATTATTTACAGGAGTGTTTCTTGTTCTTGTTTCTTGTGGTTTTTTTACGTGTTGTTCAGATTACACAAATAAGATAAAATGTATTTATTAGTGAGCTTTAGAGGTGTTGATTGGTGGATTTTGTTACACTCTAGCTAGCTGCCCCCCATTTCTTTTTTTATGCTAAGCTAAGCTAACCAGACGCTGTCTATAGATTCTTATTCAGTGGATAGATAGAAGATGATCATCTCATCTAAGTCTGAACAAGAAAGAGAATAAGCCATTTCCCAAAATTTCCAACTGTTATTTTAAATATTCAATCTGTAAACACAGCGTAGGTGTGAATTGTGAAATTATCATGCCCACACTCGAACACACACACACACACACACACACACACACACACACACACACACACACACACACACACACCCCCCCCCACCCACACACACACACACACACACACACACACACACACACACAGATAATCACGCCTGTACTCACCTAGAGTTCTGGACATCACCGGCAGGGCTGAACTCAGGACCAAGATGGACACACAACAGCCAATGATCTGCAAATCAGAGCAGATAATCTAACTTCAGATTTCAGATCTCTCAAGCACATAAAGTACAATTTTAAGGGAGGAAACTGAGACGTGTGAGGGAAAAAGAACACACATTGCACCAACATTTTCAGCCATGACTTGGCCACACCACTTGATGTTAAATTGGTTCCACATATTGTACAATTAGTACCTCTGAAGTTGCTCATTACCAGGTTCTCTCTGTTGTCCTTTCAAGCCCTTTCACTGGAGCGTCATGGCTAGTTAACAAGCCTCACCACTCCCAATCTCATTACCAAGTGAATAGGTGCCACTATGGGCCAAACAGAGCACACATCCTCCAGCCCCCTCCCCTAAAAAAAAAAAAAAAAACCCACTCTCCCTCTGATGTACAAGAAAGGAGCTTGCACTTTGCCAGTGTTTGCGCAACCCACAAACAAATATTGGACAGATCAACTAAAGCCATTGAGGGACCCTGAGGAAAACATTAGTGAACAGTAGGAGTTCGGAGTAGAGAGGAAGGCGGGAGAGAGAAGGGGGAAAAAGAGGAAATAGATGAAACACGGGGGGTCCCAAACACATCAGCACCTTGGGAGCAATCACAGCACCCTTGCCCCCACTTCACCCCCTACCCTCTCCCTCCATCCCATTTTTACCGTTGTCATGGTTGTGTCATCCTTCCTGGGAGTGAGTACCTCAAAGACTCTCAGGCTGTAGAAGCCAACGACAGAGGACACCATCAAGTAGCTGTTCAGCAAATCAATCAAGGACCAAAAACACTTCTCTGCTGGTAGCAAAGCAGCTTCGTTGAGTCTTTTTAAGTATCCCAAGTCTGCACCTTTTCAGCTATGATAAAAGGTGACGAAACAGCACAACATATCTTCCGGAAGATGTCCGGCTGAACTATGTCCTGAGTAAACAAAGCTGGTTTGACAATGTTGCTCTTGGCCGTGGAGCATGCTACTTTGGCCACAAACAAAAGGGGGGAAGGGGGGGGTCACTGAAAGGATACAACATGAGGATGATCTCCAGTGCTGCCTGAGCCACGCCAAACGTGGACAGAGAGGTGTTCCCGATGCCTCTGTCCTGGAAGATAGAAGATACAGACAGAAAACTGGGTTATTCAATGTCATCACACACCAATCTTATATAAACACACCACAAATAAAAAAACAAAATGGGAAACGACAGCACTGCAGGCAGTTGCACACACATGCAATTACAGAATCCTGCAAAGTAAGTACGCGGTGCATGAAGAATTTCCCCACTTGAGAAAGACAGAATCAAATTGGCTAAGTAATGAATGGAACAAGATGAAAGAGGCTCTTTTCAAATCACTGTCGATCATACAATATGTGAACAGGTGTTCAAACAATAACGGCACATTGCTTACGGTAAGAAGAGTGTACAGGCTGAAAGCACGCCAAAAACATAAAAACAACAAAACAAATACTTTAGCAAACACACAAGGCATACCCCCCCCCCCCCCCCTCTACCCCCTAAGGCCTTTTGAAACAGGAGCAGGAAAAAGACATACATCTACATACGCTGCACATACCAAGCATCTGTGTTGTCAAATGATAAATATTTGCTTTTGTCGGACTTGGCACCGGGGTTGATCCTCCGAAGGATCACTGTGTTGTATGGTACTATAGCACTGTCCACAAGTAAGAGGTGACCATAGATGGCTCACTTTCAAAATAGTTACAAAAAAACCGCACTTATTTATGGATCTAAGTTTAGAAATGGCCTAAAACGGAATGCTGCATATTCAGCATAATCATACGCAGATATATAAAATATATAGCCATTGTACAGTATGTTCCCAATCCCTACAACACTCCTATCCTATCTCTGTATCATGTGTACATAGCTTGACACATTCAGTGTACTGTTTATTTGAATAGAAATGCAATTCAAATACTGCTCCTTTCCATACCAATGCATGCACGGCAACAATGTACAGTGCTTATACACAGTATTTACTATAATTGCCATACCAGCATACAGAATATTACAATTGCACAGTATATATTTAGAGTATGGTTAGTTTTAAGTTTATTATTTATGTTTTTTATTGTATTTTATTTCTTTTTTACCCACCCTGAGTATCCCAATTTATTTTGTAAAAGAGCCTGAAGAAAAAAGGAAAGTCTGGCAGGTTGTTTCATGCCTTTTTATGCAACTGTCATCCCTGGGAGCTTACTGCAGAGCCATGGTGCAGTGCTCTTTCTCTCTTACACGGGGAATTAGCAGACAGCATCTGATGTAATTTATTAATGGAGTGAGGGCGGGTATGCATTAAGATTGTGTGTGTGTGTGTGTGTGTGTGTGTGTGTGTGTGTGTGTGTGTGTGTGTGTGTGTGTGTGTGTGTGTGTGTGTGTGTGTGTGTGTGTGCACTGGCAATATGCGCGTATGTGCGCGCTTAGGACAGCTAGCTTTCACAGTACGCCTCCTTTCAACTCTTACTTCTTTTCATTCCAGTAGCAGGAAGGGTGATGGAGTGTGTGTTTGTGTGTGTCAAAGAGAGGGAGGGGTCGGCGGAGGGGGACTGGTAGATTAAGTCTGTGCTGCCTGCCACGGCTCTTTCAGCAGACACATTGCATTTGTTGCTTGTAAGATTAACGCCTCGCAATACCTGCGCACTGACAAGGTCGTCAGAGTTGTACTAACACTCACAGCTATGTCTCACATTTGACCTCAGGTGGGTTCCCCAAGTCATGGAACCATTTTTTAAAAACATGGAAAACGAAGGCAACCAGGAAAGTTTGCAATACTTTTGCTTCTACCTTTTACATAATTATAATTATTTCACACTACCTCCTTTCCCTAATTCTTATCCAGAGTAAATATGAGGTGCTATTAACTTCAGGTACAGCGTTCCATACAGCATCTGTTCTAAACTGAAGTCTCCAAGTGATCGACACCTTTAACCCTTACTTTACATTTTTCTTTCGGTTGGAGGCTATGACTCTGACCAAGAGATTGTCATTATTCAACATGGAGCATACCACATACACAAAAAAACCTCAAACACCTCACCAGTATCCACTCAATCGTGTATGTGTGACCATTTATTGAAAGCTTCGTCTTACAAAGAATAACCTGCTACTTTGACACCATGGATGTATGACAAATACTGGATAGCCCGTTCCAAGATGGCGCTCCACTGAAACTTTTAGTCTTATAAACTCTTAATATGCACATTCAAGACTTCCTCTGGCTGAGTTGACCACATTTTTTCTGGCTCTGTGCACACATAAACACAATAAAAAATAAATCTAAATTTTATTGGGCCAAATGGATCAAATTCAGATTATTCCAAGAGTCATTCTGGGATGTTTGTGAAGCTCAGAAAAAAAATACTATTTGTTTTACAGCCGTTCCTCTTGTAATGATTGTGTATGGTGCAGTTTATTGCCAACATGTCTTATCTGTTTCATTATTGGTATTTATCTTTGTTGTTGTGGGTTTTTAACTCCACTTTATTTCTGTTTTATTTTAATTGCCTGATTTTATTTGCCTCAGTCCGGAAATGTTTTTATCCTGGTTCAACCAAGTAAAGCACTTTGTTTTGAAAAATGCTTTCTATATAAAGTTTATTAATAGTATTGTTGTTATTATTATTTCCACTATGCCAAAGGGGGAAATGGTTGACACCCAGTTTTGTGACAAATCAACAATAGATCCAATTTTCAAGAGGCAACTAACGCCAAAATCATCCTACTGACTGTCAGTGAAGAACAATGGTATACAAACCGGTGCCTTTATTCTCTTCTTTGGAGGTATGATTAAAAGACTGCAGAGCTTTTCTATCAATATCACTATCTTGAATCCTTGGACAATAATGATCAGTCAGAAATAATTCTGTAATTGCTGTTGCTGTAAATATAGAAGTTGGTAGGATTGTTACAGACACAATCTATTATTTAATAAATTTCCCTCTCGATGTCTAAATCAGAAATGGGACAGATTCCAAAGGCACAGTTGGACTGTTTGCTCTGAAACCACCCATATTGTGTCTGTATCTTTAATCATTTAAGTAATTAAAGCGATGAGGTGTGCTATCTATTATTTTGGCCACAGTAGTTTCATGTATTTAATTCCACTTCATCTTGCCATAAAAATGTCAACATTATTAATCCTTTTTTTTTTAACTGCATAGCCGAGTGGAACAACAGTAGTCCCAGTGGTACATTCACTCTCCCTGTAAGACCATCTTGTCAAATATTTTCTTGTTTCAGGAATCTGTTTCCCATTATTAGTTTTAAATAGCAAGTTGGAATTGAACCATTGCCTCTAGTTCTGCTGGGTATAGGTATAGATTATTAGAGGAATTCACTTTGTTTATCATGGCCAGAAAGGATATTTTTTACACTATGTTACATTTATAGCCAAGGTATGCATGTCAGGGAAAGTCTAAAGGGGCTATTCTGTAAGTTTGTGTGTGTTTAGAGAAGGGCAACTTTAGTGAGGTGAAAATTACAGTCCAGTTGCAGCTAATTGTTCATTTTACAAAATACAGTGTCAAGTGTGGTGGCTACCAAAGAGGAGGGCCTGCAGTAACAATTTTATTGGACCCTCTTAGTGTTCATCAAGCTGTAAAACACTGTGTCCTTTGACAGGGGCAGCTCCAGTTCCCCTCCTCCTCCTTCTACAGTTTCTCTTCATCTCCATCCACCTGCTTCTCCTTCCTGCTCTCGCGTCCTCTCTCCTTGCTCCTCATCATCTTTCTCCACCTCTATCCTCTGCTCTGTAAAGTCAATTGGGGCACTGCTCAGTATGCTAAGGACTACGGCGGGATGCTTAGCAGGAAGGGAAGACAAACATTGACAGGGCACTTCCATTGTGCTCTTCCCCCACAACAATCAGCGCATCGGGGCCTCATTTGACTTTCCCACAGTCTGAGTCTCTTTGCTCCGGCAGTACCTCCTCCAGACCTCAGACCAGTCTGCCACCACCACTCTCTTCACTTCTTTATATCACTTTCTCTCCTCTGTTCTTATCTCCTTCCAGACAGTGTGTGGGTAACTGCAAGGGAATTTCTGTGCTAGAGGGGCAGAGAGTTTGAGAGCTGGAGGGTAAGGTTAACGCGGTGGATGGATGGATATCATATCAGTATCGATTGTTTTGGAGGACAAGACCTCCCCCCATCCCTCGTAGTGCTGTGAGATCAGAGGTGTGGCATCCATCCAGCTCAACAAACGCGTAAACCATTTAGTGGGGCCATGCTGTCAAGGAGGACAGCTTCAAGCTGCATGACAAGTGTAATTTGGGGGATTTTCTACGATGCATCATGCCAAAGAAAACATCTCTGCTCAATAAAATAATTGGAATGTCGAGGGCAGCTCTGTCAGTTGCCCGCGAGACGCGAAATGAAACGAGGGAGAAATAGGATACATTATGTTGCCCCCTCTCAGACAAGAATGCAACCACAAACGCGCACACACACATGCAAGCACACGCGCACACGCACCTCTGTCACTGCAGATGAGATGAGATGAGATAAGGAGAGCTTAAAACACATTGCATGTTAGGCGGAGATGAGAATCTCTGAGAGCCATTCCACACTCTGTTAGGCTGCCTCACAGTAAGAGCCCTTCACCTGGCCCTGTCTGCCTTTGCAGGAGGGAGGAAAAGCAGCTTATTCACACAATGTGGACTTGAGACACGTAGCGAGCTCAATGAATCTGCACACTGCTGTGAAATGACTTTCAATGAGCTCCCAAAACAAAACCAGAGGCACAAGGTTGGGCCTGATTAACATCTGGTCGGTCCCTTTCTTCCAACATGCATTTGAGCATATCCGGAATTTGATTTATGTCTCCGCCAGGAACATGGCAGGTCTGATAGGCAAGCTCTTCTGCAGTTTACATTCTGGGTGTGTGTTGGGGTGTGTGCGTGTGTGCGTGTGTGTGTGTGCGTGGGGGGTAGAAATAAGTACTTCAGTTAGACGGTAGGCTTACTGTGGATCCCTTGGGCATGGCAGTCTCATCCACTAGAAGGTAAAGGATATTCAATGCCACCATAAGAACTGAGATTGTCTGCAGACAGAGAGGAAGATAAAGATTTGTTTACACATGGTATAGTCATAAAAAGATTGATCAAATCCTCAAAGTATCCAGCATCATGATATAATTGAATTGTGGGGGCCTTGCTGATCCGTAAGTATGGTAATGCATAATAACTATCTTGTGATTGTAAACTGTTCCAACATTAAGCTTCTCAAAGCCTGAACAATGTGGGGGTTGTTTGATGCACGTGCCATGCCTCTCACATGGCCTTTCTTGCCTTATCCAACAATATCAGACGGCATAAATAGTATTCCCACACTATAATCTGTTGAAAATCACAGTTGTTGCAAGTGGCTATTCAGCATTGTCTTAAACAGCTATTAAACAAAAGTAGTTTCCACACCCAGACTCTGTGGGGAAAACTGTGAGAGGATGGGGTTTGAGGTACAGGGTGTTAGTCCCAGTGGCCACCAGCCAGGCTGTATACGCCATGAGTAAACAGTTTGGGCTTAATGATAGGTCAGTCCTAGCACTCACCGTTCCTGTGAGGAGGATCAGCATCACTATGGGATACAACAAGTTCTTCTCCCAACCTGATGCTTTCTTTCTTCTCTCTGAGAGGCAATGAGAGGGAGACAAAATGTGAGGTTATTAGTCTTAAGAAATAGATGTATAAGCAACTCTTTAATAACACGATACAGAGATGAGCTAAACTCCTCCATTACAAACCACTTTCCACCACTGGTTAATTAATACGTTCATCAAAGACAACTATTGAAACCTCAAGCCCCCTGGCTTTATTTACAGGGTTTGTACAGCTTGGTTTGGTAAAACATATCGTGAGTGTGTGTATCAAACACAATCTAACCTCTCATCGCAACCACCCCCCTCCAGGTAATATACATTTCATAACCTTCAAAAACATATACTCTTCCTCTTTAATTAGCCACACTCATCATTGCCATAATTAGTGGAAACAACAATAAATCCTGGATAAAAAGAAATGCAACAAAATTAATTCTGTGATTTATATTTTGGTCAGAATGTGTGTGCATGTGGTGGGCAACTACTGTGCCTCGTTCTTCTGAGCGAGATGAAACATTTCACGTTTGAATCTTCCATCTCCCTTATTTCAACAGCTCATCAGTCATGTTTGTAGACACTGCTGACAGCCTGTAGAACACATGCACTGTGTCTTCTGTTATGGACATCCACAGCCCCCTTACAATGTGCATCTGACTGCCCTCTAGTCTTTGCCATATTGACTTTCTTTCTCCATTTCCAACCTTGTTAGTTCTCCTTATTCTCAAAGTGCACCCACCCTGCCTGCCCGAGAAGTTTGCCAAGTGCACTTTATATGCACCATCCTTCTAAATTAATGACATCACTAAAAGGCTTGCTACAATATAAAGTTTGCATCTTGTCCAATATCCTAAGTGCCTTTGTGCTCTCCTCCCCCCACCCGCTCCCCAAAAGGCTCAGGCCTCATTTATAATATCCTAAAATGGATGGAAAATTATCAGGCAGTTCTGGTCCAAGTCCAAATTAAGAAATTAAGGCAGACGGGGAGAAAGCGGCTGCCTGTCAGCAATATGTAAAAAGCTAACTTCTTGGCATATATTTCCATGGCAATTCAAGGTCTTAAGACAAAATATATCAGCCCCGTCACACAATACAAATACTTACCCAATTTATTCCTCTGATTTCTAATATTGTCCAGTTCTTTGTTGAGCTGGTGAGTAAAGCTTCCTCGAGTATAAGTGTGTGTGCACGATCCTGGGGAAACAGAAACCATTGAAATTAATGACATTTGTTGCATGATCAGATATTGTTTAAGGCTGCTAATAATGATTATTTTTGTTAATTATTTATTATTATCAGAAAGTGTGCAGATAATTTTTTCCATTCAATGGACTAATCATTAAGTCTATATAATGTAAAAGAAAATGGTGAATATTCCCATCACAAGTTCTTATAGTCCTACTCTTTTGCTGTTCAACGGTCCAAATTCCAAAGTTACAGAAAGAAAACAGACAATTTGTCATATTCGAGAAGCTTGAACCAGAAAATGTTCAGCTTCTTTGCTTGATTAAACAACCAAAACAATTAACTGACTATTAAAATAGCAGATAGTTTTGTCAATCTACTGTCTCAGCTCTAATATTGTTTAAACAAATAACATCACTTTATTACATGATATGTATACAGTATCTGTCAGACACCTTAAGACACTCTTGGTTCAGTTGGAAAACAACTGTATTTTCACACACGCCAAATTCATCACATCAGAAAAAGTCCTAATGAAGAGGATGTTAAGTTCTCACTGTATTCATCTTACCTCAGCGTATGGTATTTGACTTATCTTTATTAAGAAGTCCCATCAAAACAAGTAATCCTTTTCAGAACATAACAATGTGATCTCAAACAAGTAAAAATAATCTCTTGTGTCAGGAGCTGTCTAGCACATGCCACAACTGGTTGAGTGGGCTGGAGAAGACAGCAAGGGATTCTCCAGGAAAACCACAAGGCCAGCTCATTTAAGGCTAATTTATCTATTTTACTCTGTTTTGCTTCCAGCTTGACGCACTAGCGTAAAGGCCCCTCGGAGCCAAAGTGGAAGAGTATCCATTTGCATCCCCTGGGGTGATTGGCAGATCAAGACCAATTAGTTCAGTGTTACACTGTTACTAGCGTGCAATAAAAATACCATCTTTCATCTTTGTTACAGGAGTGAAAGACCAATCACTTTGATCAAACCTTTTTCTTCCCTCTGTTATTACGACACGCCCTGTCTGGATGGGTTTAAGTAGGCAAGAGAGGTGAGATAGAAGTGGAGAGAGAGAGTTAACCGTCTTGTCTGTGCCCTCGCAGATACCTGTCCCAGGATCTAAGCAGGGGAAAGTTTGAACCCTCCGAGCAAATGCATTCACAACACAACAGGAAATGTCACGGACAGTTCAACAGCTATTTTTCTCCAGAGATGAACTGAATAATCTGCCTCAGGGTAGCCTAGTCTGCTCAGCCGCAAGTGATCTAATCTATCACCTTTGTGCACAACATATCCAAACATGGCCCTATCCATCACCCAGGACAGATAAACCATTGATCAAATCAACAGTAGGTCCTTAAACATACAGTATGTAATTTCTGCCGCTAGGAGGTCGCTCAAATCAAAAACAAAAGACAAAAGACAAAAAGATGACGTGAAGTCATGTGAGATCATGGGAATTGTTTTCTTCATTATTAAACAAACACCATCGCTAATGGAAATCTGTCTGACGTGAGATCATGTTCACAGACTAGGTAATGTACTAAAGTTTTATTCACGTTACATTTAGTCACGTTCAACTTCCTTTTCCAACTCTCCGACGTATCTGACATATCCCACGTTTAGCTCGAACTTATAGCAACTAGAGGAAAGCAAGGAAACTTACCATACTGGAATAAAATTACAGATTTGTCCCGTTGTTTGTTGGAAAAATTTGAGATAATGCAAGTACACTACTCCACAAAATATATGACATAGGTCTAGCGTTTTTATACATTTTAATGCAGAAATGTTACATAATATAGCTTTAACAGCCGTGAAGACTAGCAGGTCTAACTACAAAGCAGAACAATATCATCACTTGTTTAGGGCTGTAGAGGAAAATGGTGAGAATTTCAACCGCAGTATCTTCAATGACATCACTCCAAACTGAAGTTAAATATATCCTTCTCCTTCTGCTGGCAGCATCAAGTAAAAGACTGAGTTACAGCGAGGCAGAGATGCTGAGTGAGGCTTCTGGCAGCCAGGAAGGCCCAGAGTAATTCAACGTATCCTCTCCAACCTTCACCACAGTCGAAAAATTACGTCATCCACACATATGCTAAACACCATGCTGAGACAACAGAGGCACCGGCAAGGTCATTGTGCCGCATAGCATCTGGACAGGCGCTCTGTTGCTCTACTATCAGCAAATCAGGGTCTTGAGAGGGCAGTGTGGACAAGAGTGGATGCCACATTGCCTGTACTGCAGTATATTTGTGTGCTCCGGTTACTAGATTGTATGTTTACAGTATCTTCTAAGCTAATAACCAGTTGAAATCAGAAAAACAATGATTGTTTAATTAGATACAATTTGCTGGAATTATGTGGAAGCCCTTTATTGCAATTTTGGGCTTAAAACATAACTTTTTATGTCTGGGTTATAGTTATAGCGAACTTTTGTTCACTTAAGCCTAAGCAGTAAAAAATGGGTGCAATATTGTTTAAAGAAATTGTAGAAATTGTTTCTCGTAAGTTAAGTGTTAGAAGCTTATCTCTTATTTCACAGATCCATCATCGTGTTCATCTTGCCCTTGGACAAGGAACACATACACACTTGTCTAATCATTTAAAACCAGACCTGTCTGATCTGCAAGATTGTAAATATCAACAATGTCGTTACAAATGGGCAATTACATGTAGAGCGAGGACAACAAAAGGGCCAGATGTATAAATAAACATTGATGCATCAACTCATGTGGCTCAACAATCCACATCTACAAACACAACCTGAGTAAGAGGATAATCTGTTAGAGGAGCTGGATGCAGAGCACAGGTGAAGCAAGAAGACAACATTGCTCGCCTCTGGAGTGTGTCCTGTGAACTGTTGCTGAACTGCCGTCTGCTCAGCGCTCTCGGCAGATCAAAGGAACGCCATTCCAGCCTGAGTGTGTGCATGTACATACAGTATGTGCATAAAAACATTCACGTCAACATCCTTTGCCGCTAATTCCCACCTTTTTAACAGGCGAACGTGGATTGCAGCTTGGCCTCTGTGCACACATTAAGATGTTGACCACAGTTTTCTTTTGCCTCACAGAGACTTGTAAAGATCAAACAGTGTTGGAGATGATAAGGAACAGATTACAATTATTCAGTTACTTCAAAGCAGGGCAGTTTGGAACGAGCCCTAAGGAACCATACGCATTGGTGGCAGTGTATGGCGGTGGCCGGCATAGCATTCAAAAACATGTGTTATCAGTGCGCGATCTACTTTACCTCCCTGGTTTGAAAGGACGCCTATCCTCTTCATTTACTCGCATCTGTACACTTGGTTGCGTGCTTGAGTTAAAATTAAAAGTCCAAGTTCAGAAGTTTTGGAACTTGGCCCAAATACTTCCTGCTTTTTGAGGTTATTCAACGTCAAACAAGGAATTTGGGAACACAGAAGGCTGGAACGTGAAAAGGAAATGCAGGCTAAAAACAAATAACACCGTCACCATCCTTAAACTCTTTAAACTTTCCCTTTGTGCGAGTCCAGAGAACAGCACAAGGCTTCTGGTCTCCTTTCAGAAGTCTCTGAAAAGTCACTTTAATGTCCACAGGACCAAGACACAAGTTGTTGTAAAATATTTCATTTCCATCCTATTACCGAGGCTACCATTCTAGGCCTGACATTAAATGAGGCAATAATTTCTTCTGCGGTGACAGTGGCAGTGGAGAGTCTTAAATGGATCCTTAAAAACTTCCTAAACATAAAATATGGTCCTTGCCATGGTGGCTGCTTTGCCCTTTAGCAGAAAGTTATGAGCGTAAGACAGTGGTGGGGAAAGGCTAGTGTAGAGGGTGTGTGGATTTTTTGCCACTGTGTGTGTGTGTGTGTGTGTGTGTGTGTGTGTGTGTGTGTGTGTGTGTGTCTGGCTGAATTTTCAATGCTAATTGATTCCAGTGTGGCGCGCTCCATCACACCCAATAGGGCAGTCAACCCCTCCCCTCCCCTATAATGTGCCAACACGTCTCCCACAGACATACCGTTTAATCTCCTCTGAAGGGCTTCCTCCTGCAAATGGATGCAGTAAATCTGCTCATCCAGGTCCTCCAGGATCTGAAGGGGAGGGAGTAGAGCAGGAAGAGATGAAATGGGTTATAATTAGGCCCAAAGTGGGACTGGAGAGATGGCAGATGGGAGGATGAGTTGGTGATGTATTTGTAGTCCTCTGTCGTGCATGTCAATGGTCGAGCGAGACACACATCTTTTAGAACGGAGGAGCAAAGTGGCTTCAAGTCTGAGAGGAACTGTTCAAGTTCAACTCTGTCTTTCAGAGAAAACTTCTAGTTTTACATTTCCACTGACCAAACCATTTACTACATTTCACCAATTAACGCCCATGAATATTGTTTACTTACTGTTGGTTTTACTAGTAACTGGCCCATGACGGTGAACATCCTGGACAATCCCACGGGAGTGCACACTTCATGAGACAGAAAACGGCATGATCAGCTTGATTGTTAATCATAAGAAGAAATAATTTAAATTGATGGTACTTAAACACAACATCAGCCAAGTTATTTTGTTTTTTCAGTGTGTATGAAAGGAATTAAAATGGCTTACTTAATAAAAGCAGTCCTCCCATCAGAGATATGCAGGAGTAGAGGTATGGTAGGTAAAATTCCCAAAGATCTACAGAAATAAATGCACAAATTTTATACAACATAGACTTAAAAGGAATTGTTCAACATTTTGGAAAATATACAATAAACAGTTCCAGGAGGCAACTCCTAGTAAAACCCCACTTTGTATTTTATATTTTGATTTGAGAAGGGTCTAAACAAATGAGATATAACGTGTTAATTTGTGAGCTTTAGCTGCTGGTAGGTGTATTTTGTAACTCTGGAGTGAGCCAAGCTAACAGTTTCCCCGATTCCAGTCTTTATGCTAAGCTAAGCTAATCAACGCTTGGCTCAAGCTTCATAGATGCAGACATGTAAATGGTACCAATCCTCTAATCTAACTCTGCCAGAAGCCAAAAAGTGCATTTCCCAAATTGTCAAACTATTCCTTATAAAAACAACAAGGGATTTACAAACACAAATGACACAGAATCCTTTAAGAACATACCGTAGAGCGACTCCATACTGGCTGCATCATTGTCAATGAGCGCTGATGCCACCCACACAATGCCCAGAATGAGCAAAGCCAGCAGGAAGAGCATCACAAAGGTCTCAAGAATACGTGCCCTAATGCCCTGAAAGATAAAATGCACAGAAAAGAAAGAAATCTAATTAGATATGGCTAATACAGTTTGAGTCAGTATCATTATACACATAAGTATTTTATTTCAAAACACATTAATCAAACTGATGTTCATTGCATTGAGCTGGGAGGTGGTATTTCCTACATCGCATATACATTTTTTTTTTTTTTTTTTAAACACACAAGATTGATTTTACAAGACATCTCCCTCCTCCTCAATCCTGCTTCACTCATATTAAACACCATCATTTCCATTCACAGCACACAAACAAGACATAAACACTCCCACAGATTCCTCTGTAAAACAGCTCTTTTATACACACATATTGTGGTCTATAAAGTGGGTCTAACAGAGGCTGGTGGTGGCAGAAGTGAAATTAAAAGGAGTAGGGGGGGTAGGGGGTGCTGTAAGGAGCATGAAGCCTGGCTGGGTCAGCTACTGTCTGCGATCAAGAGCAGGCCTCCCATCTGGGGCCGATTAGGAGCTCCCTTAGCACCACGGTTGTGTCCCGGGCTGCACAGACGAGAGGGTTTTGGGGTAATTTGGGTTTTCCGGGTCACAAACTGCTGAGTGGTTAATAAAGTCCTCCTCTACCTGTTCACACAGTTTCCATTTCCCCCCCTGCTGGTGAGCCGAGCTGTCTAGCACTGTAAGATAGATAGGCGTTCTCATACACATGTCAGGTAGGCTACCAGGCACAGGATAACAAGGGCTCTCTGCTTTTGGAGTGCTGCTTAAATTGGGTACATATGAGCAATTTGTTACCAGCTAACATAATGGCTCTGCGGTTGCTGTTCAGTATTTGCCAACAGGTACATGAAGGGGGTCTCTCTTTGAAAGTTCCCCCTGTTAATCATGTCCCTTTATAGAATGGAAATGGTTTCAATTCTGCAGATTAAATCAGACAAGGCTTAGTTTTTTTTAGTTTCCAAACACAGTTCATGATTGTCATCCAGGCCCCCTGTCCTTTAGCATTTGCATCACAATTTGCATTACAGCTGTCATCTCTCCTATGCAACCTAAAATATGGTCCACTCTACACTATATATATATATATATATATATACATATATATATACATACACACACACACACACACACACACACACATATACATATACATTTTAAAGGCACTTTTCTTGCATGTTGTGAAACATATTTGGTAAATGTAATGTGTACACATTATCATGGACCCATTCAGTCAATACTTTGGATAGTGACATTATGATTTAAGCTTATTCTCTCATTGTCTGTGGCAAAAATCCCCAGTAGCATCCTTTCGCAATTACAGAGCAATCACTTGCCTCTCGCCTCCTCTTACGGTGATATTCTGGAAAAGGTTCAGTGAGTGAGTGCAGAATTTTCTAGCACAACAGGGAGGAAAGTGGGCAGGGTCTGGAGTGCCACAGTGTGGCCACAGTGGACACTGCAGCCACTCGACAGGTAATGTTAGAGGGGGTAAGTGGGCCTTATAAAGTCAACGTAAAAACAAAACCTAAAATAATCTTGTGCAATATTACAAATAAACACATAAAATGAATACATACACCACAATGAGAACATATCTTAAGGGAGCTATATGTGCATATTTGCTGTTCTGCAATTAACCAACAATAAATTCGCCACTCAATGCAGATCAATAGACTAAAAATATAGCCACAAATCTGACATGGACATTAAATTCTGCTGACTGCCTCATGCTCTTTTGCACACACTCACACACACTGAGTGAGTTCACTAGATGGATGCTGCAATCAAGCATCTCACAGCCCAGCTCAACTGGGCAGTGGGGAAAACACTCAACACTGCCGAAATAAAAAAAAGGAGGAGAAAGGAAGAGATGGAGAGCGATAGAGAAATAAAGAGAGAGAACAAGAGAGAGAGAGAGAGAGAGAGAGAGAGAGAGAGAGAGAGAGAGAGAGAGAGAGAGAGAGAAGAGACTGTTAGAAGAGAGGAGTCAACGTCTGAGCGCATCTCATTCCCTGGAGGTAAGAGAGGTGAGAGAGGAATGCTTTCAGGGACTTCAGCCACGTCCCACACGCGCTCTCTTAAGGATGCATCAGGACAAGAAGAAGCCGTAGGCAGGACGTGCGTCCGCTCAAGCGCACCAGTCCACCTTAACAAGCTGCCCATGCCATGCTGAAGGTGTATTCCCTTTAGATAGGTCTCTCAATCATTTATAAGACTCAAATCATTACCCATTCAGATCATTTAGGGCAAAGGCAATGCTTGTCACCTCCCTTACTATCATCTTTGGTTCCTGCCTCGCTGGAAGAACAATCCACTGTGTCAGACATAATAAGACTGTGCAGGAGATGGAGGACACTGAACTGTGAGCCCAGATTGGTTTCACTGATCCATCCATATGCATGACATTGCACACTGAAAGTTATATCACCTATTCTTCCAGGGGCAAAACTAAGTCCTTTGTTCCTTATCACAAAGGTAAGGAAGGGCAAATTTGCACAACAAATATGGTACAAAAATAGGAAAATCCAACTAAGCTATCATCATTGATCAAAGATACAACTGTCAACTGGTGAAGGAAGGGAGGAAAAAAAAAAGAAAAAGACCTGCGCCTTGGCATCCAGAGCGCCCGCTGAAAGTTTCTATTCTTGCCATTCTAAATGTGTAACTACCTCTAAATATAGCAGCTCTGAAATATTCAGCATCCCCTGATCCTCACACCGACATCGAGTGAGGGGCTGGTTAACTGCAGCTATGCTCGAACAAGACTGGAGAGACTTCCAAGAAATGCGTGTAGTGGCCAGAGAGGAAAGTAACCGCTTCATATGCAGTACCAAACAAACATGCATGAATTCACACACAGACAGACCCACACACACGAGCAGCCAAGTAAATCAACCTCCAAATCCACCCAATTACGCAAAGCCGCAGAGGGCCTGGAAACAGTTCACAAGCTTTTTCGCCTAGCTTGTGCTGCAGAAAAACTAAAGCACAATCTGCCACTGTCTTTGATGTAGTGCTTCGGCTGATGAATCCAGCAGAGAGTTCACCTCTGGAAGTTGCATGCCACTGTGCAATGGTGGACAAGTGGGAGAGAGAGTGAGAGATGATACTTGGGAAGGTACAGGGCTGTGTTGGATGTTGGGGGGGGGAATCAGACAAAGGAAGAGAGTTAGGTGGCGCAGGAGCTTCCTAGTTGCCGCCATCAATCCTTAGCAAGTCAGCAGGCGGTGGCAGAGATCATCCCGCAGACCATCCTTCTGCTCACTGTCAGGGGCGTGTGGAACAAGGGCCAAGAGTGTAATAAGTGAGGTAGGGGGCAGGGTCCTTTTTTTTCTGCTCCCCAGCAAAAGGACTGCCCTCTTTGCTAAAGACATGCCAGATGCCCAAGGACCTTATTAGTGTATCCTTCAGCCAGTCGGCCACAGCGCAATGACCGTGTCAAAGACAGAAAGCAGAGGAGAAGGACACTCCCCTGTAAAGCTGCACAATGAACTTCTAAAGACTCTTAATAAGACTTCTTAATAAAGCACCAATGACACGAGAGCATGGAAAATGATCAGCATCACATCGTATTGTTCAAACCAAGGGGAGAGGGGTGTTTGGCAATAAAAAGAAAACATTGTCGTGAAAGTTGAGTACACTGGTTTTTGGGATGTGAATTAAAACTCTGGCTTTCCCTGCTGGTCTCATGACTGATTCACCAGATGAGACAGAAAACAGAAGAATTTAAATGAAGGAAGCAGCTTCAGTACTTTGTGATGTTTGCCAAGTTTTATTTGACATCCTACAGTGACGACAGCTTGTTCTGATTACAGAGAGGTGTCAGACTGATAAGTCTTCAAAGAATAAATGACTGTATCCTGGGTTTATCGTCAAGCAAAGGTTAGGACCAAGTGCACATAGTAGCCAATCCACATAATACTCTGCCTTACTTAAAGTTATGTAAATGAGTTGTAATAATTCAGCGTATAAGAAACAATATCTTTACTTTAAAAATCAGGAAAAACAGCTAAAAATCTGGTACAGAACCAGTTAAGCTTCAGAACTTATCACTTAGTTTAGAAAAACTGAGTCACGAGAGGAGGGGAAAAAAATCCTGAGCAACTCGCTTGTTCTTTTTTAAATTCCCAGCTCGAACTAATATGTTGCCATGGTAACGAACATTGTAACAGGCAGCTTTAGGGAGACATTGTGACCTTAAAGGAAGGTATGTAAACACCACTTTATATTCTCCGGCTGGCCCTGCCCGAAAGAAGGCCTGGGAAAAATGTCTGCATGTGCAGGAGATTTGAAATAAATATCCAGGCCCCCATTGTGGAGCTCCAACAAAGAGGAGTATCTTAGTAACACCACGCGGGTTTGCTCGGCGAGACGTTTTCTCCCCCCCACCTCCCCCTCCTCTCCACAATAAACACACTTCTCATCATTGGCGGGTTAGGGCTTAGGATGAGATTGATGAGGAGTTTCTTTAACTACCAGATGAAACCTGTTGGCCCTTTGCTGGGTCAGTCAGGGGGTCAGACTCGTTCCAACTCGTTTCAGGATCAAACACATTTCAATACTGTGGGTAAGACCAAAAGACTATTCACTGCAATGCATACTTTCCACAATTGATGCAAAAACCTACATCTAGAAAACCCCTAAAACATAAAACTGACTGGAAATTCTGCATATTTTTCATCATGCTAAATGTTCAATAATTGTTAGTAACTCAACTTTTACTGCGGCATCAAATGCATATTTTTAGCCAGAATAAAGAAATAGACTACACACGAAACAGACCAGGAAGTTACAGTTGTCAAAACTTTTCTTTTTAACCTTGATCTTACTGTTTTTGAGTAAATATAGCTAGATATCATATTCATCATGTATCACTATGAAGCCAACTTAAGTCCCTTGATATAAATAGAAGTCTGAACAAAGGCTGGTGCTGATGTCTTCACAGTCTTTGTCAGAAAGCACTGATCATCTCAATAAGGATGACAGGGATGGCTCTCATCACTATAATGCCATCTACTGGTGGTGTAGAGACAACTATAACAGATAATTGAAAGAAATGCTATATTGGGCTTTATAAAGCCACAATAAAGATATTTTTATCTTTCCCAATGCACTAAAACATCAAATCAATATATGGTACTTAATTTTAGAAAATTACTTTCTATGTAAGATGCAATTACACAAATACAGCATGGTATAGAGGTTTTTAAAACTGACCTACTCAACGACCTTTAGTGGCCTCAGTGATGTAGTTCTTATGCAAAGATTTGAGAACACAGCAGTAAAGTGGGAGACATTTTACAGCAGCAAATAAAGCTAGATCATAACATCTGACATCAAGACCCTAAGTCGCTCCGATTCATCCACAATTTGGACAATTTGTTAAACTATTAATCACTCAGGTGACAGAGCCTCTGAAGAGCTGAACAGTTAACATAAAAAAAAAAAACATCCACATTTCCATCTTTATTCTGGTGGCGTCTTTTAGTACATCGTCAAAAGTAAACACAGCCACATGAAAAGGCTGACTTACAGCGTTAGTAGTGAAATTCATCATTCACTTCATTTCCGCAGTCAAAAGGACCTCGCAGTGCCATAACATTAGCCCAGGAGGTTAAAATGCCACATAAAAGCTTATGACATTGTGGTCTAATGCTGTTATTGGGGAAAGGGATAATATCACATTATAAAAACTCAGATCTGTGTTTAACATTCCTCTTGCTGTCGGCTGCGTGATCGACTCTGCAGGCATCTCAGTTTTTTTTTTTTTAGGTGAAACAGGAGTGTCACCTCCACCCCTTCCATAGCAAACACACAATATATACGTGGAAGTGCAGCTCAACATTAAACAGTGCTTCCTCTAAGCAAATTTATGGAAGATCAGTAGCAAGAAACAGTCTTGCTGAAATGAAAAAGAACAAAAAAGAGAAAACGTTAAAGAGGCCCTCATCCTGCTTCCTACACATCAGGGGCTGCCCTCTACCGAAGAAATCCAACCGAAACAAATTAGTGGGCTGAGGAAGAAAAGAACTGGCTATACACTACAGTACAGACTAATTTTTATGTGCTTTTGCCAGGAGGGACATAAACCAGAGAGGTTTCAAACTGTGACACAGGATAGAGGTGTATTAAAAGTAAATCTTTCCCCCTCCATTTTGCGAGGCTCTATTGTGCTGTCATGTTGCTGCGACTTTATGGACTTTTGGAACACGAGCCCCCAGCCTCTTTTTTTGGGGGTAATCAATTAAACGAGGAAGTTCGCTGAGCCTTACAACTCGATTATTAGCCTGTCCTTTTGAAGTTTTATTTTAGGGGGCTGGGGAGGGGGTGACAAGGAATCAGGCTTTAAATCAGTGGGGCCGATGCAGCAGTGTTGAAGCGTTTGCAGCCTATGGCCTTATTGGAAGGGTTTGTCAGGATGTGGCGCTGGGCGAAGTCCAGATTCAGACTTTCATGGTTAATGAGCTTTCCGTGGTGGCAGTTACAGTCAGTGGCGTGAGTCAGGGAGAGGGCAAGGACTAGGCACCTGCTGCTGCTGCTTTGGCTGTTAAAGAGGGAACCCCTCGCATGGATAGCAAAGCATACAAATACATCAACACTAAAGAAAATAAACAGGGTTTTCACATTTTCAAGTTTCAGAATCTGTCAGACCTTTAAAGATCATAGATTGTCTAGTTTTTATGTAGATTGTCTACTTTTAATAAATCACCTGAGTATCAGTATCATAAAAACTGGGTTTTTGGTAATTATTACTGTTCCAGACTTTGAAACTTCCATTTCAATTTCCACTAAAAAATTTTTGTTTTGATGATAGTTGGTAACCTTGGGTAACACACAAAGAAAATAAACAAAAAGGAAAATGATGCATATTAATTCTACGACAAACATTTAGGGCAATGTACCTTTTTCGATCCAGCGAATCCTTCAGACTCCAGGAAGAAATAGGCAAAGGGCATCAGGACAAAGAGGCAAAGGTTGGAGAACAGTGACACCAGGTTCCACAGACCTGCAGAAATCACACATATGAGGAGAGTGGACACTGTACGCAAACACTATATATCATAAATCAACAGTGAGTCCAGTTTTTAATGATTAGTCTTGTTCCATAAACAGGTTTCTTCAGAATTTTGAGTTCTTTCTTCTGAATATTATTATTTAGTAGTTGTGAGGCGGGATGCCAACCCAGGGCTCTATCTGGCAAGTGTCTTCAAGTGATGTCTAAATCATGGACTCTAATGCCCCCTGGTGGCTTTTGCAGCAACCAACAGCCTTATCAACAGAGTTGGTGGTTAAAGCTGACCCAGTCTGCATGACTGACTGTGACATACACATATAAATTGATCTGATATGTGCTGATATGGCAGATGAAATAGAAAACACTTTTAAATCTCACAAGCTTTGTTTGTAAAACAAGGCAAAGAAATTTGCTTATTTGATCTACCAGCCGCTAGTGCTGGTGGTTACACATTTATGATTAACACAAACCTATAGTCAAATAATATTCTTTAAACAAAAGCAGTTTTCAATGGGGATGTACAATATGATTTTTTTTTCAGCCGATACGTTAACCGATAATTGCGCATTTTTGTATTTTAAAAAGGAAGTTCACAACCTCTAGTTTTAACACACCTGAGGGTAAGAAAGGCTGAGATGTAGTGAGCAAAGATGGATGATTTAATGTTTCATAGCTCTGTTATAATTAAATCTAACTGACAATTGTCAACAACAACAAAGAATAGTTCTGACTCTTCAAATTTATTTTTTCTAGTTCATTAAAAAACTTAAACATACTTTGGCTTTCATAGAACAAAAGGTCCATCAATCATTTTGTAGAGGAATTCCAAATAAATGATTATTTATATCAACCAATAATTTACCGGCTAGAACTTAATTATCCTGATAATTTATAACAACATACATTTCCCATTATTGGCCTATAATCTGTCTGTCCCAATAATTATTGTGCAGCTCTAGTTTTCAACAATCAAAGTAAAAAGTGTGTCAGTATTTATAAAAAGTAGAATTTCCTTTGCAACAGTTAAGTACTAACCACTACGTGCCAGTTTTTGTATCAATGAGGTGGTGGCACAACAACTTCTAAAAAATTTTTAAAAATCTTACCAAAGAATTTGTAAAATAATTTGTATACATTCGATTTCAATCAAGTATTTATTAAGGATTAAATGCTGTTTTTTTTTAATATAACTCAACAATAGTATTTCTTGAAGAATCACATTTTCAATTGAAGAAAACTAATTATATTATTTTTTTCATAAATGATTAACAGTTATTGGTAGTGAATTAAAGGGTTTTGGACACCACTGTATCATATAATGTAATTTTAGCTGTTTAATTCAGATGAATCTCTGTCCCAGGTCTGAGTTACATGGCCTACATACAAAAATACAACAGTTTCTCAAACAAGCATTAACAATGCAAATTACACAGCATGTTAATCAAAAAAAGTTAATTATGATTATAATCAATGTCACTTAAGATATGTTAGAAGATAATTTCTTTGAAGAGCAGAGAACTAGTTAATCAAATAAAAAGACACATGAACTATGTGATCTACTGACCGTGAATGAGGGAGCCATTGAGCCACTGAATGTAATAGTTTTTGGGGAAGGAGAGGAGGATCTCATTACTAATGATTGAGAACGGCAGTAGGAAGACGGCACCACCCGACACTGCCAGGGTGAAGGTGCACAAGTATAATCTGCAAATGGAATCAATCACACACACACAGACAAAAACAGACACACACAAGTGTTAGGACTAGTTGAGATTTAAAACATATATAACACATGCAGAATCACAACAAGTAATAACACATTTCTTTCTTTTTTTAAATCAGATTATATGCTACTAACAATTGCTTGGTTACTTGAGGATTCATTTTGGATTCTTTGTTATATTATAAAAAAGTCACTTGTGTCAAGAATAACTAAAAAAAGCAAGTGAGGAATTAACTTATTTAGTGAAAGTGACCACTTGACAATCTATCCTTTTCAATTACTCTTCTACTCCTCAGTTTCATTCAACCATGCCCTAGTCCTAGGACAAAAGACATGGACTGGCTATGTTTCTGCAGCCTTTTACATTTTTAGAGGCTGCAGGTCTCAAGATTGGACCCAGGGGAGTGACCATCTGCTCAGTGGTCCTCAGCAGGGCACCACAAAGTCCCCACTTCACCATATCACTAAAGGAGCTCATTAACTGAAATGCTTTCCATTATGTATGCTGGACCCTTAGGTACCATCTTGCTCAGCTGAACCTAAACATGCAGGATGCATGTGGCTACAAAAAGCACCCTTGTGTGCGATGTGTACAGTAATTCTAAACTGAGGGATATGTGACACTCGCCACCTCAGTTCTAGCTAATGACAGAGTGTGTAATACATTCACTGTAGTGTAGTAGTGTGTAGTGTAGTGTTAGTGGTAGCAAGTATATTAGTGCAGTGCTTTTAAGTAATTAGTTATTAGTAATCAGGCTGCAAACTAATGATTATTTTCATTATTGATTCACTTAATTATTTTCTAGATTAATCAATTAACTGTTTGGTCTATGGGATGGGAGAAAACTGATGTCTTCTGTTGCCTAACCAACTCTCAAAAACCCAAAGATATTCAGCTCACTATGATATAAAACACAGAAAAGGCCTCACAGTTGAAAAGCTGGCACCAGAGAGCATGGCTTAAATAATAATAAATTATAAAAATAGCTACAGATAATTTTCTGATAATGAACTAATCTATTAATTGATTCAGCTGAACTGTATTTCATCCCTTTTTTCTTTCCTTAAATAGTTGACTTACTTTCTTTTCTTATATTTGCTACATTTTCTCCATTCCAATAACAAAAAGCTTAGATTACTAATTCCTAATAAACAAAATAAATAACTAGTTGCTCTTAAGGGTTACTTCACTAAACGAGGCTTGCCACAATTTCTGAAAGACATTTTTCTAAAAAAGATGAATTAACTGAACCAGCTTTACTCACGATATTCTATTGACAACAGCATCTTCATCCTCATGGTCATCTATAAAGGAAACCAAACCACTTCAGTCACAAGGTGGTCCGAGTGTGAGCTTTTCAGCTGTATTCCACATTTCACACATCACATCTTACTTCAACCAGTACTTAACACACAGCATTGGCTAACATACAAACAAATATCTAATATCTTCCCACCCATATCTGCAGATACTGACATGCATTATTGTAAGAGTGTTAGTGCAAATGAAGGAGCAAAACAGCTTTAGTATCTGAGACATGACTATCTTAATGGAACCATGATACTTTTATTTCAGTTATATGAGTTGATCCATTCCTTGAAAAAAACATTTTATACAATTTCACAACAGAAATTGTGAAAATGTGAAAAAATAGTAAGAAATTAGAGCCAGACCTAATAATCATCAAACATGTAAGGCAGTTAATAGTATGCTCATATATACTGCACTAAATAGTAAATGTAATGGCACTTTATATTTTACAATTCCCTTGTACTGTAAGTGAAAGGATGAGGCTACCAAACCACAAGTGTAAGGAAAAGAGCAGCCTAGATTTCTACTGTACAAAACTCCAGAAGGGATTTCTGGTGCAAAGTGGTCTACTTTTAAAATGAGACAAGGGAAGCCTAGGTGACCTGGACATCCTAAATTTGTCCTGGGAAAATGGGATATAGTTCATAATGTCTGCCTGGGCCTGTCATTTCTCTTTTCTCCTTTATAACTCGGTCAGATTTTTGTCTTCAGTCATGTCTGCCTGCCTTGGCTCAACTGCTGCGTCAGAGACGTTATAAGAGAACAAAACATATCCTTCCTGTTAAAGAGCCCATTGGAATTCTTCATTGTTTGCATATCATTTGACAGGACAGGATATACTACTAACCTGTCTTTGTTACTGGAAGGTTACTTATGACCAATTGTACTCCTTTGGCCACAGCCCTAAAAACAATTTGGGGCAGATACAGTTTACACTGTGCTGACTGTGGCAGATTACTCTACAGGCATGGGTGTGGTCTCTCATGCATACACCTAAAGCCTTCTTGGCCCTGACTTTCTTTCAGTCTAACACAATGAAGGGTTCTGTCTGTGAGCAAACACAGCATAACCAAGACTGACTGACTAACTTCTACAGTGTTTGCTGTGAAAATGGGTCCACCATGGACACATTTTCTCCTGTGTATCTGTTACAGATCCTTTAAGACAGGTCATGGTTTCACGGAGGTGCATGCTGATCTCCGTTCCCACGGTGTGCACATTCATATGGCACAGAAACACTTACCACTCTTCTTCTTGTATCTGGTTATGATGCAGTAGGACACAATGTAGAGGACTGCAAACAGGAGAAAGCAAATCTGAAACGCAAACATAACAATCTTAGTCAAGGATTCACTATTATTGTATATTAATCAACAACAGGCTGATATGATCGGTAATCCATGGCATTTGTTTGTAAAAGTTGTATATATAATGCATTTGCTACTACAGTACAGACAACCTAACAAATTGTAAACTTACTTTTTTTTTTTTTTTAGGGCTGCAACTAACAATTATTTTTATTATCAATGAATCTACCCATTGCTTTTTAAACAGTAAATCATTTGGACAACACAACGCCAGCACTTAGCTAAAAAGGCCACAGCCCATGGTGATGTGAAAAAATATCTAGTTTTGTTAAAACAATGACCTAAAGGCAAAAATTATTCACATTTGAGAAGGTGAAACCAGCCATTTTTTCCATTTTTGCACAATAAATGTACCTAAACAATTACTTGAATAGCAAAATAGTTACAATAGTAAATAATCTAAACAAATAATCAACTAATCTTTTCAGCTCTAACAGTTTTAACTGTAATAGTGGATAATAGTGGGTTTCAGTCAATTTCGTCCCATGCTCTAATACTGTGGAATATAATACTAGATCAGTTGTACAGTATAAAAATGTCCAAAAATAACTGCACATTTAGGCCTGTTAAAGTGTACAAAATAAGGAAAATAAAATAACTCTTGCCCCATTATTACACAAATCATTAGCTACCAAGCAGTAGAGTTCAACATGACCCCAATATTTGATCATAAAGAACAAAGTAAGCAATGCATAATTGTTTTCCAACATCTGACAATACTAATTAGGCCAGTGTTATGTGTAGAGTGGTCCAGAAATTACCAATGCATGTAATTTATTGGGTAACCAGGGCCTTAAAACAAGCTGGATGATCTTACAGAAAGATCACATTTCACATTCCCCCCGTCTACTATGACAGTGACCGGGGCAACTAATGTTAGAAGCTCCCACTTCAGCACTTTGCACCCTGTCAACATTGCACAACTCATCATGGCCAAGCTGGGATTATGAGATGACTCAGCCAGACAGCGGACAGGCTGTGCATTTCAGACAGTCAAAACTGACATATAAAAGAAATTCCAAACCTCCACAGTCAATCTGGGAGGTACGTGGTGTTATAGGATAGCTGTAGCAAAAACTGTTTTTCTTATCCCCTGCAGTCCCCTTCCAAATGAATGACAGCCGATATATTTACAAGCTACCAAACTCTGTGGTGACAGTGGCTCAAGTAATACCATGTTTACAAAGGGGCAAACCCAGAATAACACAGGATCAGGTGCACAGAGCTGATAAACGGGCACAGGCTCAAAGATACAACAGTTTGGGAAGAGATAACGACAAGTAACAAGTAGACCAGACAACGCCATTGGCACTGGCGAAGTTATCGTTCTGTTTTCCCTCATTCACGCAGAATAACACTGTACGCGATGGAAAATGAGCGGGTAATAACAAGTCAGGCTTCTCACAAGCAAGTTAAAGGCATCCCCAACCAACTTGGGAACAGTATTTCACACCTTTATGATATATGAACTCAAACTGGAGGTGAGGGACAGTAATTACATTTTAACTGAGAGAGGATCGTGCAATTCCTGCAAGTAGATAAGCTGATCAGCATGTTTTCATCCACTGTAGTAACACCATTTTTGCTGGTCATGAGTTTATGCAGTTTAAGACATTATAAGTAACCTGATTAACAGACACAGATGTCTACTTAAGCAAGCCAAATACCTTGTCATGTATGTTGTTAGCTGGGTTTATGAAAGGTTTTTAAGTGTGTGCATTAGCATGGAAGAGACTGTGGATAGGAAGAGTAACATGATGTTGGAAAGTCTGTTGGAAGTACATATTATACTGTTTTTTAAAAGGTAATAATAATGATAATAATAATAAAGTAGTTGTTCAGGTTGCAATGTCAAGGACAATAACTTCAACACAGCGAAGCTCTGTTTACAAAAGTCTGTGAAAGCCTGATAATGATTTTAGAGTCTTACTGGAGGTGGTAGTGGAAAATGAGATTACTGACCAAACCTCATGATCGCCCACTGTAACCTGGTTTGCTGTCCATTCTTCAATAATTCTTCACAGTAGGAGGCTATTTCCCACACTTCAGGTCTAACATGAGTGTGTTACTGAGTCATGTTTATGAACTTGAAACGTATACTAGACTAACCTTGGCTGCAAAATAAGCATGCGCAACAATAAATATAATTTAAGGCATGTAGAAATGAATCCATAAGTTGACTCACCATTGACATTAAGGTTAAATGATACAGCGCATTAACGTTAATGATTACAGCATAATGCAAAGGGATCTTAGGCACAGCATGTTGATATGGGATACTGAGAAGAGGCTTAGGACAAAATGTGCAAGCTAAAGCTGAGATATTAAACTTGCCTGCTGGTGAGACATTTGATAGTTTCTATATTTCAGAGGTGTCGATCACGAATACTTAAGAACTCCAGACAAAGTGTCCCCTCTTGAACTCACTCGCTTCAGTTTTTTTTCGAAAATTATGGCTAGACATCAAAACACTCTAAAGGACAATGTGGTTCGTGTTCAAGATTATCGACAACAACAGCCGATTTCATGGCACTGACAGTGGTTAGATATGCTATTTATTAACTGTTTATGTCACTGTCAAGGCACTTACACGTCGTACCAAAAGTAAAGTGGGGAAATATCTGTCAGACGAGAACATAACTCCTTACAAATATTACACTGCTGTGTCTTCTCTCCTGTCCAACGCTCAAAATCTGCCAGAAATAAGGGTGCCTTCGTAAAACACTCAAGTTTTATAATAATCCAACCAGAAAATCATCAGAAAGAAAGGACAGTTTACCAAAAAGCATAATCATAACCAACAATAAGACTTTGTATTCACTAAATAATTAACAAATGCTTTTTCCTTCAGAGAAACCCTTAAACCTTTTTAATTCTAATGATATTATACCTAAATTAGGGTTAGATATATAGATATGTGACTTTTGGTTATGCTTCACATAAGATCCAATACTATAGTATAATATGATATTAAATAAGGTCTGCAGCAGACATAAACAGACCACCTTTCTTTACACATATGAAACTATTTGCAATAAGCACAATTAACATATTACACTGCAAGAAAAAGATAAATAAGGCTGAACAATGAATTAGTGAGACGTCCCAGTCCTCACTGAGGAGGAGCACCGGATTAGTGAGGACAGGGACACTGTGTCCATGTCCCCAGTTAAAGATACCACATAGAGATAAACATGTATATGTATTAAGTTACCAATCTGTTCCAATATCACCAATAAATACGCCACGCTGCAGTCAACTAGTTAATCTCAGCTAACACGAACTAGCGCCTCCACTCAATGCCTTTAATTCAAACCACATCTGAGCAACGACACCAATTAAGTCCAGCTGACAAACAAAAGCTGCTCCATAAAACAAACTCCTGTTGTCGTCGAGCTGGATAATAAATAAAAAAATAAAAATAAAAAAAATGCCGCCGTGTCCGACTGACAGTTGAAGCTAACGTTAGCAGAGGACGTCGTTAGCCTGTTAGCTCCCCTCGACTCCGTACGGTACTTACGATGTACTCCCGAACTTGGCTGTGGAAATTCTGCTCTCTGATAGTAACGTCGTCTTCTTCCATTCTTCATATTGCAAAGAAAATACGGAACATAAAAACTCTACAGACTCACTACATGCTGGTTCGTACTGCTGGCAAACACGACCCCCCCCTCTCTCTCTCTTCGTCCTCTCCTCTGCCAAAGACAACTGCTCAGTCTGGTTAAAAGACAGTTTACATCGGAGGATACTCGCTCCGTGATAACATTACAAAAAAAAAAAAAAAAAAAAAAGAAAAGACAAAACGCCCCAAAATAAAGTGTGTCATCACCGTGCGTCAGCTACTCGGCGTGCCCCGGAAGCGAATGGCCACGTGGTCGTGGGTCATATCAACAATCCTCATGGAGATGCATGTGTTTGAGGTATTTATGTGTTTAAAATAGGCTAGAGTTCATCCTGTACGTTACGGTTTTGTTGTTTTGTTGTTGTTTTTAAAGCATCCGTCGTTCAATAAGTTAGCTGAGTGTCTGTGTTTGTTGGACCAAGGATAGGCGGGTGGGTTTGACGTTATCAAGCTCATAGTACATATAGTGTGAGTCTACTTTTTTTTAGAGATGAAGGGCAAATGGAAGCAGAGCAACAACAACAAGAAGAAGAAGGGGAATGTGGTGTTACAGAAGTACATTGTGGCAATGGATGAGTTTATTAAAAGCGAGGGGGGCTCTGAAGAAGGGGAGCAGGACCATGGCTTGAAATTTGTGAAAAGGAAAAGTAGAAAGGAGCTGCGCAAAGAGAAGCGAAAAATGAAAAAAGCCAAAATGAAAAGTCATTATGAGGGTAAAAAGAACCTCACTTTCCCCCTCGATGAAGGTGAAAACTCGGGAATACCAGCTGATGAAGAGCAGCAGCAGAAGAAGAAGCAGAAGAAGAAGAAGAAAGAAAAGACAGAAGTGTCAAAAGCAAATTCAAATAAGTCCAGTAGTGCTCCCTCAGAGAAATCAAACAACTCTGAAACACCCTCATCTTCCAAGAAAGGCAAGAAAATCAACAAGCTTCAAGAATCAAGAAAAATGGCGCTTCTGGAGGCAAATGAAGACGAGGATAGAGAAATAAAGAAACTAGAGCGGCAGCTGGGATTAAACAAGAGAAAGAACAAGAAAAGTCTCCCCCAGTCCTTCGTGGCTGATGGACTTGATTACATCCTTGGTATGCTTGACTCTGGCTCGTCGGCTGTGGGGATGTATGATGATGATGATGAAGATAACATGGACGTCGCCAAGGAGAACTTTGAAAAGCTCGGTGAGAAAGACTCTCAGCTGTCGGACGAGGAACCTGGAGATGAGATGGCGAGTGAAGGCAGTGATGAAGATATGGGTTCATTTGATGATGAAAATGAGGTGGACGACGACGACGACGACGACGATGATGATGATGATGAAATGGTTGATGAGGAGGAAGCAGAGGAGGAGGAGGAAATGGAGGATGAGCTGAATGAGAATAACTCAGATGATGAAACTGAAGGGGAAGCAGAGGAAGAAGCAGAGGAAGAAGCAGAGGAAGAAGCAGAGGACGATGCAGAGGAAGGTGCAGACACTGCTGACACAAAGACATCAGACTCAAAGTCAGAAACAGTGAGTTCATAAATATTTGTTTATTATTGTCATACCATTGAGATCATATATGCTGTATAATGGATGTAAATGCAATCTTCCAACGTCCAGGTCGACTCCACAGCAGGGAAGTACGTGCCGCCTCACTTGCGAAACACTGGGGATGATGAACGCAAAGCGGAGCTCGAAAAACTGAAGAGGAATGTGAAAGGTCTGGTGAACAGGTAACAAAAAAAACACATTCTACCTCTCACAAATCAAAAGTTGGATTCATAAGCAATAAAACACACCCTTGCTTTAATTCACCCAGGAGAGTGCCAAAGAAAAGGGATAGTCCTTATCAGTCGAGGCAATATCAAAATTCTACCCCATTTTAACCCCAAAGTGTAAAGAGGTTTTTGCTGATGCATCGTGCACTTTGGTAGGAAAATTCTCAGATGTTATTTCTAGATTTAAGGTTTTCTGATCATAAAAAAAACCTACTTCCATCTTTAGGATAACTAGCACTAGAAAGAAATCGGGCATGTTTGTAGATTTCTAATCACGACCTACATACGTCATGGAGATGTAGACAATTTTCATCATCAAGTTTTGTTTCTAGTTTTCTATTTTCTATTGTTTAGTGTGTAAAATGTCAGAAATCAAGAGCAATGCCCATCACAATTTCCTAGAAGCCAAGGATGGCATCTTAAATGTACTGGTTTTGTCTGAAACAGTCCAAAGCACAAAGATACACATTTTTCAATAATATCAGACAAATAAAAAATAAGTAGGTCCTCCCATTTCAGAAGCTGGAACCACTGAATCTTTGGCATTTTTGCTTGATAAATGTTGGCAATTAATGTCGATCGACTGATTGAGTTATTGACTAATCGCTTCGGTGCTATGGAGATGCAGCCATAAGAATTGAGGATTTTGAGGAGCATTACTGTTGAAATATGAAAGGATTTGTACAAAAGAAGAAGAAAGTTTAACGCCTGACTTCTGAGCTTGGTCTTGAGTTTGCTCTGTGGAATTCTTTTAATTCATCCATTTTTCTGCAGGCTGAGTGAGCCCAACATGGCATCCATCAGTGGTCAACTGGAGGAGCTGTACATGAGCTGCAGCAGGAAGGACATGAATGACACCCTAACGGAGGTGCTCCTAGCTGCCTGCGTCACCCCGGCCCTGATGCCTGACAGACTACTGATGGAGCACGTTCTGCTCGTCAGCGTCCTCCATCACACCGTCGGGATAGAGGTAAACACACCTCCTTTTTAATCCTTTGAATTTGAAAACCTCTGATAGACGCACACAAGTACCAAAGGCAATTTTTGTAGGTGAGGTCATGTTAAATGGATCTTAATTAAACTGGTTTTACTTTCTAGAGTTATTTCCATTCATTAGACCCTCAGTTCATTGTCTCATCCTTTTGATAAGTGACAGCAGGAGTCAAGTAGCTTTTGGTTTTCCCAGCCTGTGTGTGAGAAATAGCAACCACTGACATCAGCTCTTGGATTATTCATTGGAGGCTTTTTTTTCAAAGGGATTAGCTTCTTTAGGACATCTCCACTGTAAGTTAATGCTCCTTTAATGACGATATCTAACACCTTGGTTTCCTTTGCTTACGGTGTAATAGGATTGTTATCTCTCAATTGTATTCACTCTCCATCGTGTAAATGACCTGAGGCAGGAACATTAGTAGAATTAGCTGCCGTCACTGACTGCCTCTGGACGCAGTTCTTTGAGGTTATTTAAGGCAAATTTTGTACCTATTTTAAAAGTAACTTTATTGGTGAAATGTGGGGGTACAGCAACAATCCTTGAACACCCATTAGATTCGACATTGACTTTTGTGGTTCTATTTGTGTTGGAGTTATACAATGCAAAAGACAATCATTATTCATATTTTCAAGTGTACTTATGTATTTGACTTAAACTGTGGGCTTTGTCTACAACCTGTGTGATGCTGTTATATTGAACCCTTATTTATCATCCACAGATTTTAACATACATAAATCCAATTCTAACATGAATCACGTCTCTGTAATATTCTCTTTTCGATCATTTCTCAGGTCGGAGCTCATTTTCTAGAGACGGTCGTGCGCAAGTTCGACGAGGTGTACAAGATCCCAAGTGAAAGCAAGGAGTGCGACAACCTGGTCGCCATTGTCGGTTACCTCTATAACTTCCAGGTGGTGCATTCTGTCCTCATCTTCGACATCCTAAAACTTTTTGTTGGAGCTTTCACAGAGAAGGACGTTGAACTAGTTTTGTTTGTGCTGAGGAATGTCGGCTTCGCCCTGAGGAAGGACGACGCTCTGGCTCTCAAGGAGCTCATCTCTGAAGGCCAGCGCAAGGCCAGCAACGTGGGGTCAAAGTTTCACGATCAGAACAGGGTAGGGCCAACAGAATTACTTTTTATTTCTATTACTTTTCATTTACTTTCTTAGCTTGATCGGTTTTATATCAAGTTAGAAGCTTATCTAACATTATTTTATGCGCACACTCATTCTCAGGTGCGTTTCATGCTGGAAACCATGCTGGCTTTAAAGAACAATGATATGCGGAAGATCCCAGGCTACGATCCTGAGCCTGTGGAGAGATTGAAGAAGTTGCAAAGGACTCTGGTGGGTGATTTTTAAATTATGACCATATTGCATTTGATATATGTTTATTTCCTTACAGAAAATACATTTAGATTTTTAATGTGTAGCTGATAGGCACTCATTTTATTCATCATACTGAACACAACAGTAGCTCCCAATTGTACCTCCAGGTGGCGCCAGAGTACCACCTTTACACACCTAGATCACTTGTCCAGATCATGACCATTTAACAGTTGTTTTCCTCATGATTGCTCATTTGTGTTTGCCTCCTAATTAAAGTTCACTTGTGGCTAATTCTGGGTAAATGTGGTACTCAGATCCACCGGAGTGCAGGAGGCAGTGACATGAAACTGAGGGTCTCTCTGGACAACCTCTTGGCAGCAGAGCAGGTGGGCCGCTGGTGGATCGTCGGCTCCTCGTGGAGTGGGGCGCCAATGATCAGCGAACAAGGGAACGCAAACTCAAAACAGAGTACTGCTGAAGGACAGGTAGAGTACTGGAACCAAGACACAGAAGACACCAGAGTTGTAGCAGAATACGTGTGTATATAAGCAGGCATCTGAGTACTGTTGCTAGGCATCCTTTAATGTTAAAGATGTATGTCATGCCATGGTAGGGGAAGCAGATCCTGAACTGATCATGTCCCATTTAAGCTGTGTTGCAGTATTTATATTATTTGCAGTGTTGTATTTAATTTATTTATACTCTGATTAAACTAATTTACAATCTTCAAATACATTTTTTTCCCCACATTGATTTAAAATGAAAACATCCTTAAAAAATAAATATCCTGCCCTTTAACATCACCTTTATCTGAATTAAATGTGTCTGTATCAGTAGGCTAGTAGGTCAGTACTGCCAATACAGATTAGGTCTCAATACATTATTGGTGCCGAATGAAATGTGTCGGTTGCATCAAGTATCAAAATCGTTCTAGTTTCCATTGTCAGATTCACAATGATACTTTTTCCTTGTTCAGCTAGTTTCCCATTTGCATCCAAATCTTTGCCAAATTTAAACTATTTTATTTACATTTTTATTACATTCATGTACTGTTACATGTGTTTAGGCAACATTTAACATGTGAGAAGTTTGTCCTGTCTTTTGTAAATAAAGAAAATGTTCTCAGAGTAAGGTATCGATAAAAATAATGTTTAATTATTGTTCAGCAATGTCTGCACTTTGAGTGTATTTTGGCTTCAGCTGCATTTTTCACTCAACTGTCTTTATTTTAATTTTTTTCAGTTTAGTGCTAAAGTCTTGGAGCTGGCTAGGAAACAGAGGATGAACACTGAGGTCAGAAGAAACATCTTCTGTGTGATCATGACCAGTGAAGATTACCTGGATGCTTTTGAGAAACTCCTCAGGTGTGTTATCTCTCACCCCTGCAGTGTGTCTCTATGTTAAGTTGGTTGACCAAAGAGAGAAAGAGGGAAATGTGACATGCATTATGTTAGCCGTGTTTCATTTCAAAGTAGTCCAGCTGTGAGGTTGATGTTTTAAAGCCTTTTATTTGCTCTGTGTGAAGGATGGGCCTGAAGGACAAGCAGGAGAGAGAGATTGTTCATGTTTTGATGGACTGCTGTCTGCAGGAGAAAACCTTCAATGCCTATTACGCCGTACTGGGAGAGAAGTTCTGCTCCCAAGATCGGCGCTTCCAGGTACTCTAGCTGGTAAAAACCTATACCTTGATGACAGAGACGCACAACTACAATCAGATTAGTGCATACTATTAACAGTCTTTCTCCTAGGAAACCGTTTGATACATATTAAATTGTTATCTTAAGAGCAGTAAATAGTAAGGAAACAAAGTGTTTGCTGAAAAAGTTCACCGATACTTACCAAAGATAAGTACCAAAAAATATTTTACTTACACAAATACTTGAGTTTTTGGTGCGTCAGTATACTGATATATATATATTTTCTTGGTTAATTCATTCTTTAGGCTATAAAAATAAGAACAAATTTGAAAAATGCAAAATACTGAAGCCTGAGGCCCAAGATGATGCTATTACATTTTTTTGTTTTGTCCAATCAACACTCCGCAACCTAAAGATATTCAGATTACAGTCACTGTAAGACAAAGAAAAGCAGCCAATCCTTCCAAGTTAGTAGCAGGACCCAGGGTATGCTTGGCATTTTGCTTGAAAAATGACTTCAACAAATAATCAATCATATAAACACTGTATACAAAATTATTTTTCTGGCCACTGATTAATTGACTTATTGTTTCACCTCTAGTAAGTTATTGCAGCAGGTAACGTAATATTTATCGTGTTTTCTACCTATTCATCTGTCAACGCACAAATCAATTATAATCAGATTAAGGAAAATAAATCTCTAATTACATATATTAATGTTGCACATTTAGTAAATGATAAAGGTCCCATTAAAAGCCATAGTACTCTCTGTACATGGTCCTTATTTAAAAATAGATCATATGAATGGAAATCATACTGTACAGAAATCCAGAATGGCAGTTTTAAAGTTAGAGAGGCGGGCTTACTATACATTTAATCACAAGGATATGAGAAGAGTTACCTGCTGGATGTGTGTGACCACCCAGTCTCTTAAACTGTGTGTGACTTGGCCTGTAGTTCACCTCTGCAGTGTGGGAGCCTCTCACACCTCTCACCTCTGAAATTATTTGACCCAAACTGTGACTACAAACAATGGGGGTGAGACCACACTTCCTACTTTGCTGCCATGTAGGCCACGGGCCCCATATCAGAAACTGATGAACCATTGTCTTCATCAAAGAGCTCGAAGCAGAGCTGGTGGGAATGTTTGCTTTTCACATGTAAACTGAATTTGGATGAGAGGATAACCTGTGTAGAGGAGCCAGTTACTGTTGTTTTTAGTTTACTGTTTGAGGGGGAATCATAGGTGTATTATTCTGTGCAGTTGTACAATCCTTCAATTTGATGTCCCGTGTTCTCCAAGATGACTTTCCAGTTCAACCTATGGGACAAGTTCAGGGAGCTGTCCAGCCTTCCCAGCAGCACCTTTAACAACCTGGTCCAGCTGGTTACCCGCTTCCTTCAGAAGAAATGCCTCTCACTCTCCATACTCAAAGTAAGTGACATGTTGTGTGTAGGTAGAAGCTTTCACTATATACCATTTTATATATTTGATGTTATAAGTTAAATAAAATCTTTAAAAATATTATGTCTGTGTTTTTCTGTGTAGGTAATAGAGTTTGGGGAACTAGATAAGCCCACAGTTCGCTTCTTGCGTCAGGTGCTGACCAAACTGCTAAAGGAAACAGAGCCTGAGGACCTAGCCAGCATATTTGGAAGGTGAGCTTCATTGTTTATACAGTTACTTCTAAGAGGTTTGGAGCAGTGTGCCCACGTGAGCAGTACGTGTGTCGCAGAACCTCTCAGGCACGCTGCTCACGCAACGCTTCACTACAGAGTATGTTTCTGTTTACTTTTTATGTGAGCTGCATGCAGTTTTCAGCAAAAATAGACAATGATGATGATCTGTTCATAGTCATATCAACATTATACCAGTAACACATACGCCTTTCATTACAGTTTCAAAATCTATATCTATATATGTCACAGACATTAAAAAAAAATTGTTTAAAATTTTAACTCAACACCTGCTGCATCTGTTCTGTAGCTCTGTATTTTTTTTTAATCAAAGGCAAATTCAGTGTCGAAAGATAGGACTGGAAGCAGCAGTTCAGTGAAGCAGCCGTCACGCACTGCTCACGCGGGTGTGTGTCCAGGCTGTTGAGGCACAGCAGTGATTTAAACATTAGCATACTATCATGCTTGCAAAGACTATGCTAGCATGCTAATATTTGCTAATTAGCAATAAACACAACTAAAGAGCTGAGGTTTGTGGGAATGTCATTTGGTTTGCAGATATTTGGTTACAAACCAAAGATTTGGACACATTTAGATTTTGACCCAGTGATAGATGAAAATTCGGGGAATCACCAAAGTGAGTACACTTCATCCTTTTGGGAATATGAATGTCTGTACAACGTTTCATGGCTATCCATCCAATAGTTGTTCAGATATTTCAGTTTGGAGGAGAGACCAAAATTAGCATAGCATAGCATAGCATGGCTAAAACGTCTATTGTAAACATTTCAGCAATGTTAACCTCTATTAGCCAACATCTTGTAAAACCACTCCTCTTTACTGCTTCGCACCCTGTGAACATCTGAAATCAATGTCTCTCATTGTTTCCCATTCGCCAGGATTTCAGGAATTCCCAAGCTAGGAATGCTGCGGGAGGGCTTGAAGCTTTTCATCAGTCACTTCCTGCTGAAGAATGCCCAGTCACAGGGACCAGCTGAGCAAGCAGCGATGCTGTCAGAGCGCGCCCAGGTCGCCACCAAAGCCATGGAGGCCAAAGAGGCCAAGCTCAAACTGTAAAACACACACAACCACACACACCAGACACCCAACAGACGTACGTAACAAAACTGTGGAACAGAAGACTGCTTGTTCGTGGGAATTGTCTCTTCATACAAAACCCCCTTTACGGTTTTCCACAAAGAAGAATAAATATGTTTTTGATATTAAAATAGTGTTTTTGCTTTGGGGAGTTCTTGTACATAATTGTTAACATGAATCTTTTTACATTTGGAACATACTGAATCCTCTGAAGACACACTAGTCTTAGCACTATGTATATTATTTTAATTCAGTGCGTATAGGTTCAGCTTTTATTACTCTGCAATAATATAATTACAGTTTTTGTTTCATGACAATTTGACTTCCCAAATGCATTGATCCATGATGGTGCTTGTACATTTGTTAATAAAACTGGAGCAAAATATGTAGGCCCTGGAGTGTAACAAATGTTCATTCAATTTTGTCATAAAAACCTCCATAAACCAGACAATTTACCTCAAGCTTTGATTCCTTTGTAGAGAGAAAGAAATCATTTTCTCTTACAACCGCTCTCATATTATTTTCTCCTGTGCCTTAATGTTTATTTCTGAAACCGCCCTCGTGGAGGCAGTGTGCAGCAAGAGTTAACATTATTGAATTCAGACGCCTGGAACCATTCTTTTGGGCTTTACTGAGTCTATTTACACTGTCAGACAAAACAAAGCACATTATAATAAACTCTCAGCCTTAAATACAACAGATTGGTGAATATGTGTATGTTGTTCCTTTTTTCTGTTGACATTTCCACTTGTGAGTGTGGCCTAAACAAGAGCAGTGAGAACAGAGAGGGACGGTGGTGTCATTCATTCAGTGTTTACACGCCCTGATGAAATGACCCCTGGGGCCTCGAGTCTAGCCTATTCTGTATGCTCGCTGACACCAGTATCTGCCCGCGTGGTTAGCATAGCAGAGTCATTCTGTTACATTTGATACTTGCTCTTATTATTAATTAGCTCCATCTGTGCGGCCTGTATCAATCCTGAGGCTGGAGCGTGGCCCGAGGTCAGGAATGGGCCACCAAGGTCAAGCAGAGGAAAGGTCCTTCACTAGTCCCCTAACCACACTGTAACTTCACGTTGAAGGGACTACAGAGTTGATTTAATTGTATGTAACATTAAAGATGCTTGTTTTTGACAAACAGCACATCCTTCCATTAACACAAGGACAAATACTCTTTGGGCTGGAGTAGTGGTGGGTTTCTTTGAGGAATAACGGAGACTACCAGGAGAAAAACTGGAGTATTTGTCACTTAAAAGGTGGAGATAGTGGGATCAATAGGCTCACTGTGCAGTCCATACACTGGCCATTGTCTGCAACCGTGAGCCAGAGAGTTGCCATCAGCATTACCTGGTGTACTCTGGTTGGGCTTGACCCTCAGCTGAACTTTGATTTAGTCTGCTAAGGCTAAAGCAAACAGCTGGAGATAACCAACAGATCCCTCAGTAATCCTGTTACAAACGGCACATAATCAGTCAACCTCTGCTATAGTTTAACACTGATGACTGCGAGAACCACGACAAGTAAGTGTGGGCTGTGTTAAGTAACTGATGCATAGTGTAATCCCATGTGCGGATGAGTTACTAACCTGGTCCTTTTAGCTCAGTCACACTGGTAGACCTGTCCATTATAATCAAGAGACTACAAAATAAAAGACTGGGCTGGAAGAAGCTCATATTGGATGTCAACATATTAGGAAATGAACACACCCTAAATAAATAAATGTTTTGTGTAGGTAGGAAAAATGGGATGATGGGATGTTTTCTTTGCTTTGAGGATGTCCACTCTTTTTATCTTTTTAAATGCATAGCCGGTTTACATCTGTGTTATGTTTACAATCCCATTGCTTTTTGGTTTCCAATCAACTGGCAGATAACATTTTTACATCCCAATTTTCAAATGTATACCATATAAAAACCTAACAAAATAAGAGCTGACAATGTATGCTGAGGACTGTCTGTCAGAAAACATGTAGGCTAGTAAGAAATAAGTAGAATATTATTTAAACATTTCCCAATTTAAGGAAAAAAAAAAAAACCCAAACAATTAAAATATTTTCTGAGTTGTTCTTTCGGCTAAATGAGTTCAAAATGATAAAAGTCCTGAAAATAGTGCCTGAGCAGCCCAAGTTGTCGCCCAACGAGCCGTTTGAACGTTTATTAATGCGAGCCCATTGCTAGTGTGGTGTGAAATGTTTCCTCCGTCTGACTGCCTACTCGCTGTTTGCTCTCACTGCACGTTTGCACAGATCCGACAGCGCTATTAACAGTAATTCCCATGACCCGAGCTGTCAGAGCAAGGAGAAAAACACAAGCCTCCGTCCGCATCCGAGCTGAAACACCGCGAGTTCATCGTAAATCAACACACTATACATATATAAAAGGACAGAAAAGACCACAAGACTTGCGCCAAAATGCCAACTGAGTTTCATATAAAATCATTTTTATTTCACATTGTTTGCACCGAGAGAGACGCTAAACAATAATTTAGCATGCACTGGTATGACCATTTTTTTTTATAAATACAGTATAGAAAAATAAACATAACATTTTTTTTTCCAGCGTGACATTACTCACTACAGAAGTTTAACACCACAAAGAACAAAATAAGGCCAGAATAAGAGAAATGACAGCGGGCTATTTACCGCAGTGAGAGCTACAGGATATTATTGAACGATTATTGCTGACAAACTTAACCATCACAGCAGGTTGCAAAGTCCTGAGCCAGTTTACAGCGTTTGCATATAAACCATGCAGCAATATGTCACAGTTTACCTAATAGCCGGGTGCTGAATGATGCTCCTACTGTACGTGTATTAGAAAACTTAAATCTCCTGCTTTATTGCTTGTTTATGACTCCAAGATCGTCTATTCTTGACCTAAATTTTAATTATTTTCATGACAAAAAAATGCTCATTAATTCCATGGATGTGATTTAGAGGTTGAATTACATGCAACTGCATTTTTATAGCGAAAGTCCCCCACAGTCATTATAAATGGAGTTCGCCACCTTCGCCCTTCCTCGGCTTCAAGGCTGTGGACTTATGTCACTGGTGTGATTCCTCTCGTCGTCTGAGGAGCAGTCTGACGAGTTGTACAAGAAATTGTCGCCCTCGTCGTCGTCACTGTCTCTAAAGTCTCTTATTCTGCCATTTTTTGAGTCTGTCTTGCTGTTATAGTCCGACTGTTCGAGTCCGTCAGATTTCTCCTGGCCGCTCTTGGTGCCCTTCTGCTTCTCGGCCTCCTGGGCGGCCTGCTCTTTGGCCTTCTTACTTCTCTTCCACTTCATGCGTCTGTTTTGGAACCAGATTTTAACCTGTAGAAAGAAAAGTAATTTAGTTTAATTGGTTTAAACGTATAAAGCTGGAGGCTACCTGTGCGTAACCATGCGTAAAGATTGCGTAAAGGTTACAAGTCCACCTGACATTGACCTCTGCGCTGTTACAATTACCTTAAACTTAAAACATGTTTTAAAGCTTATTTATTTCATTTTTTTTTCATCCATTGACTCAAATGCAAACAAAATATCAATGGGATGGTCTTAATGCCATTTCATTTTCAAAGGTAAAATTATTGGAGTGAAAGGAAAACTACCTCTGCACAATATATAAAACAGTGAGGATGCATCGGGACCTAGACGAATGAGATAATATCTCAATAACTTTCAATAAATTAACTAAAAACTAACTTGCTGGTAAATTTTTTGCCTTTAAAAAAAAAAAAATACATTACCTGAGTTTCTGTCAACATGAGGGACGTAGCCACTTCAAAGCGCTTCGGTCGTGACAGGTACTTATTCAGTTTAAACTGATGCTCCAGCTCCAGCAGCTGCTGACTTGTGAATGCAGTTCTTGGTCTTCTGCACTTGCCAAGCAAGTTGGACTGCGCCTGAGCTGCAAGAAAGAAAAACAATAAATTCCATGCACCTTAAACATAGACCTGTTTTCAGTCATTTTAGGGATTAAGTATATCTATATACTAAATTAAGAGATGGATGTCCAAAACCAAACAGCCTGTTTATGACTCTAATTAAATAATCCAAAACTTTAAGAAATTAAATACCATTGTGGTGTAATAAAATACAGATTTCTTCATTTATTTGCTCCCTGCTTAAGTAACAAGGTCGTCCACATATGAATATTTCCATAGAGAAGCTATTTGCCACTGCGTTTTGAACAAATCTGTTAAAACGAGCAGAAACAAAAAGGTAGTATCTGGTGAGCAAATAGCATGTCGGCTGTGGGTTTCACACTCCTCTGCTACTTTCCCACTGTCCATTATCTGTCCATTTTAGTTCCTCTTAGAAAAACCATCACTCCATGACAGCCTCTCCATTCAGACCATCATAATATCTGAGGGAAACTGACTTTATTTTGAAGTAAAATAAGAATTCCATGCCTTTGTATATCTGAATATTTAGCACAGTAGCAGTAGCTGTCTTGAAGCAGCATCATGTAGGCCAACGTGATATTTATTAATAATATTTGGTAGCATATTTCTAACGCATAAAGCTTATGGCTTTTTGGTTACAATCAGCCTGTGTCGCCATACATACTGCATGATATTTATTTGGAGTTAAAAAATGGCAGAAATACGACAGAACATTCTGTGATGAAACAGCTACTTACAATTAAAGTCAGACATTTTGGGCAGCATCATCCCGGCTGTGGAGACCCGGAGCCAGTGGTCCAGCTGGAAGGTGCTGGCTGACAGTTTGATGGGATCACTGGTGTGGTGATGATGTGAGGCGTGTGGGTAGGAGTAGGACAGGGCAGGGTGTTGGCCTGTGAGGGCAGCTGCGGAGTAGGTGTACATGGGGTGGCCGTAGAGAGCCTGTGCGGGGATCCCTGCGGTGCTCTGCGGATGTAATCCAACCATGCTGTGCGGACTGTTGAGGAAACCCGGTTTAGGAATCAACCCGCAGGTGGAAATCCTCGGCGGAGACGGCGTCTCGGTGCGTAAAGAGTCGGCGCTGCTGCTCAGCTCCGGGGCTGCCACACTTCCAGACGACGGGATGGAGGAGGAGGACAGGGAAGTCACAAGCGCGAGCGGAGAGGTCTGCACCTTGGGTGTATCGACTGCTAAAAGCGCGTCAATGCGAAAGTTTCTGGATTTCTCCATCGGGCCCCCGGTGCGCGTCCTTGTCGCCTCTGCTGCCTTAAACGAAGGAGAAGTCAGTGGCGTTTTCCCACCTTGCAAAAGTTATGATGTGGTCCGGAGTGTGAGAGAGGAGCTCTGTGTGACACTTAATCCCTGTCCGATGGAGGCGATTGGTGCAGCCGTCTGGTAGGGGGCTGTCCCAAGCGTCACAGACCTAACAACGCCTCTCTGCTCTAATCACTGTAAAGCACGGTGTTGGCTGCCTTATTGCTTTCATAAAATATTGCTATTATACGAAAATGACGCAAACGTTTGAATTGAAACGTACGTTTTTTGATCAATTATAAGTGGATGTTATTTTTTTGCCCATATATAATTCATCAACAGTGAGGCTGATGGAGCAAACCTTTCCAAGGTGGCATCAGGAAGACTTTGATCGTTTTATTATTATAGGAGTACGTGTGCTGCTCCTGATGTATATTTTTGGGGGATTGGCTTTTTGTATACATCAGCAATTTGACCAAGGTCACAGGAGCAGGTGTAGTAACGTTTAATTAAACATCTGTAGCCACAAACACTCCAGAATAGGCATTATGTAATC